AAGATGCTCAGTTTTAAACGTTAAAGTGTACAAGTTGCTTTGTTACAATAAAACTAAATGTGTACACAAAGGGGCTGGTTGGTCTTCACTGAAAGGAACCGTTTTTAATATCCTGTTAAGGAATTTTAGTCATTTCTAGGCATTTGTGGGGGCATTTTGGTCAGTATTTCTGTAGTGCAGTGCAGCCTTGTGCTTGTGTGTGGACTGATAATCAGTTAATTCAGTTCCCACTGTTTCGGAAGCTGGGAAGTGTTTCCTTTGGTAATTCCTGCTGCACATGGACTCTTGTAGGGCCACGTGTGAAGACACAGGTTTTTATTCCTCATTTCCAAAAGTCCCTTCTCAGAGTTTTGAAGCAGTAACTTACAGTACTGTGTCTCCAGTACAGCAGTTGGATAGAAAATTCTGTGCAAGCTCAGAATTAAAAGGCCAAGGGGTCTTACTGTTAAGATTTGGGGGGGGTTATATGTCTTTTAGGTTGAAAAGAAACCTTAAATGCAAGCTAATTTGGGCTATTTCAAAGAGCAGGATTCTTGGTGTGAAGCTCCTGTATAAAAAGTTGTTACTTCCCTGCTCTCTTCCCTTGGTAGCAGCATTGTGTGTGTGCTTTAGATACACTCTCATTTTAGGAGACCTGTAAAAATTTCACATAGAGGTTGTTGGTGCTGGTGTTCCACAAAGCGTAATGGAAGTTGTTTTAACGTGCTGTGCTTTTGAAATATTTAAAAAAAAAAAAATTATATCAGCTAATCTGAAATTCAAACAGCTCTTTGGATGTGTAGAAAAGACTTGTCTTCTGGGAAGACTTGCTGTGATGTGCTCTTGATTCCTTTTCCTCACAGGAATTTGCCCGGTTTGGATGCTTAAAAAACACACTTGGTGGGACACCATCGATCCCTGGTGGAGACAAATAATGTGTGAGGGCAGACATTGTGGGAGTGTGTGGTCCATCCAGCCTGGAGTGCAGCCAGGTGTCAGGGACAATGCCACATCCAGAAATAAGACAACCATCTACTTTATTCCATCTCAACCAAAGCCTCTGCCCCGACCCTGCTGGCAGAGCGAAGTAGTGTTTGACCAGTACTGGTTTCTTGGCACCTAGAGAGGGGAGGAACAAAACCTGTAAAGTCCTATAAATTTCAGATCTTTTCCATTTAATTGCTTTTTGTTGTGACGTTGAGAATGGCTTCCTGCTGTGGTGAAGGGTCGATGTGCTGTTACTTGCCACGATGCCTCATTACTTAGTTTTTATGTCGTTTCTCAAGGAAAAGAATCATTTTGCTAGTCTTGGATGCTTGGGGAAAAACATTGTGCTGTTGTTGTTGTTCCACTAGCAGAAAACCTTGAAAAACTGTTCTGAAAGTAATCAAGGCTTCAGGCTTTGTAAAGTCAAGTACCAGGAAAAAGAAATGAGAAGTCTGGATAATTAAATGCTACTTAGAAAACTTTTTTTCTTGCACGTTCTTTAGGATTTTGCAGGGTGCCAAAATACTCCTGCTGCTGCACTGATAATACTGAATTTCCTGTGAAACTTAAGGGTTTACTCCTGGGAATGGCTAAAGAGTAAACTAAGATGGTAGAAGAATAAACCATGTTAGTTAAGCATTATCTTAATTATTTTTTTTTTTTTTAGCCATGGAAATGAGTAGGGATTAACACATTTCTCTGCAATGCTGAAGAAATACTACAGCTGGCCATCATTTGCTCTGAGTGTTCATGTCTAATTGGGCTGAGTATGTGTAATGGGTGTCCATTTCTTACTTGATTTATTTTATATGCATATAAAGAGCTTTTAAAAGTAGACATCTACCTTGGATAATAATGGGAGATTCATTCTTATTAAATATCTATCATTAATTCCCCCCTCCTTGAGCTCTTCACATCCAGTTAATCCTGCCCAGTGAAATTTGTCACAGGTGGATGCTGACTTGAGGCTTTGTGGGCTGAATTTCCAGGGTTAGAACGTGGAGTTGGCAGCAGTTTAACAACTGCTGGGGCTGTATGACTTGACAGGCTCAAAGGTTATTTTTAAGTTTGAAGTTTTAATTGCTATAAAATGGAAATATCTTTTTGTCTGTTATTTCTAGTGCCAAACAAATACATCTGTGTGTGTGTGTAAATATAGTTAGAAAGGTTTGAGTTTTTTAAACAGATTATCTGTGTACTTATTCATACTTGTCAACATAGTTTCTGTCCCTGTAAACAAGCATTATCTGAATCGATTTCTCAGTCATTTATGACATTTGAGTCTGTAAGCTCTTTGTACCACACTAAACCAGGTGCATAGGGATAGTGCTTTGTTTATTGGATACTGTTCCTGAAGTTTGAAGCCATGCCTTTTTTTTTTTTTTTAAGAGACTGAAATCAGTGAAATAATTTCTCTGCTGTACCTTCAAGCTCTCCTTCTGTTTGAAGGAATTAAAGTACATTTAACTGTTATTCGAAGTCACCATTTCTAAGAGTCTTTTTCAATAGAATCAGTTATTAATCCCCTACTCAGGATCATCTTCCGCGGGTGAGGTGGGCAGTGGCCACGACGTGCTTCTCCTTCATGGAGAACAGAGGGGAGGTCACAAGTGACTCTGGTACCAGACTCCTGCTTGCTCCGGGGAGCAGATTTATGCTTAATCTCTTGTCCTCCCTCTCCTGGATTACAAATGGAAAGTTCTAAGGCATTTCTCCTCGATCCTCACCTTCTCCCAGCCAGGACTCCCGTGCAGTGCCCTCTCTCGGGTTTAGGGGAGGACGGGGCTGCCGCTTCAGCGTCGGGGCCCCCCTTAACCACCCCCGGCCCCGTTCCAGGAGCCCCCAGAGAGGCCGCACAGCTCCATCCCGGCATGGAAACCGCGACCCCCCTTCCCCCGGGCCGCTCCCACGCTGCCCTTTCCCGGCTCCCCAGGAGCATCCCCAGCACCAGGGGCTGCTGCCCTGCGGGATCCTGGAAGGGCTGGACAGGCACAAATCCCGGCTGTGACTCATCTTCCCATGCCACGGGGGTTGCCCAGAGGGCAGGAACCGCTGATCCCACGTCCCGGCCGCCTCTATCTGCAGGATATGTGGGACACGGGGGTGGGCTGGGATAACGGGGGGCCAGGGACACTGGGGACACGGCCCCTCCGGGATCACCCTGGAGAGCGCCAGCCCTGGCCCTCCAGGATGGGGAGCTCCAGCTCCCTGGACTGCCCCCCTGCCCTCACTCTGCCTCCCTGGAGGGTCCCAGAGCAGGAGGAAAGAGGGGAAAGCCCCTTTGTGAATCCCGAGTGGGCAAAGAGCCCCTGCAGCCGCTGCCCCCCAAAGCTCTCCAGTGATGGAGCCAAACCCAGCCCTGCTCCTGCCTGCTGGCTCTGTGAGGGTGTGGAAGTGTCCCTGCTCCTCTGGAATTCCATCCACATGTACTAGTCTGACTTTCAGTATTTCCACCGAATGAACAGTCCAATTAAAATAATTCCTTAAACACTGACTAGAGCCTGGACCATGTTACAAACAGTAACAGGTTGTAGAAGGCTTTATATTAATCAAGTGCACTTGCATTATTAACAACAGGAGCATATCCAAAAGTTTAATAGAAGTTAAGGTTTTGTTAATTCAACTCAGTTAAGCTGGATCGGAATTTTACTTTACATTTTTATTTTCGTGTGATTTCCTTTTAGTAATTATTCAGTTGTAAATCTCTCACAAAACGCTTAGGCTAGAAAAACTGTTCTAATTAAGTAAAAGGAAAACATTTCTGTTTATTAGTACATTTCTAAATTTGTACGTGGGAACAGTATCACCTCCAGATGCCTTCTGACTCACAGCTGTGCACAATCCAGGACTGAAGAGCGTATTAGTGTGGTAATAATATTATGTAATACTGCTGAGGAGGGTCTTTAACACCTGAAAGCAGTAAGTATCTTTTTAATTTGTTTTAAGCACCGAGTCGGTTCTGTGTGATGGGATGGGAGTACAGCAGCACCAGTGGTTTTTCACTCACGAGAGCTGAGGGATTGCTGCCTACCCAAAGCATTTAAGTTATTTATTCACTGAAATATTCGTCTGAACCTCCAAATCCTGCATTTGGAGGGGCAGTTCTGCACGGGGAGAAGTTCCCCACAGCCCAGCACCGCGGCGGGGATCACCCCAGGGACGGGATCCAGGGATCCCGACCCGAGCGGAGCCGCAGTTCGCTGGTTCCCCTGTGAACAAACGCCGGCTGCGAGTCAGTTTGGAGAACTAAAACTGGAAACCACCCGCTGGCCGCAGCACAAAGAGGGGCACCCGCAGGGGGTTCTCCCAGCGGGGCCGAGCGGGGGATGTGTCCCTGTGCATCCCCGTCGCCTCCCTCTGGCACGGACCCACGGTCCCGGTGCCACTGCGGGCACTGACCGCTCCAGCCCCTCTCCAGCCCCTCCTTCCCCTCGGGGCGGTGTCCGGTACCTCACTCCCCGCGGCGTCCTCGCTCCTTCCCGCCGCCACACGGGCCCTCGGCCGCGCGTTTCCCCTGAGGGCGGGCGGAGGCGGCGGCACCACCTCAGCCGGGGGCGGGAGCGGCGGCTGCCCCGGGGCCGTGTGGGGAAGGGCGGCTCCCGCTCCCGGGCTCCCGTTCCCGCTCCCCAGGGCCGCCCGCCGGCGGTTCCCCCGGGCCCGCCCCGCGAGAGGGCGCTGGCGGCGGCCCCGGGACCGCCGAGTTTGAAAAGTGCCGGTCCGGGCGGTCCGGGAGGAGCAATGGCGGCAATGGCGACCCCGCAGGTGAGCGCTGAGGGCTCGGGGGCGGTGGCGGGGCGAGCCCCGCCTTGGGAGAGGGGGGTCTCCGCGACCTTCGGGGTGCCTGTGCCCTTCAGGGGTCCTTCTATCCATCCCCCCTCCTCCGGGAAAGCACCGCTCCCTGCTCCGCCCTTTGAGGGTCCCTCCATCCATCCCCCCGCCGGGGAAGCACCGCGCCCCGCTCCCTGCGGGCCCTCCTCGGAGGGGGCTGCAGTGAGGGGCTTCCCGCCCCGGGGAGGTGGGAGAGGGTGTGGGAAGCAAGCGGGATCCCCTAAAAACATCTCTCTTCCCCTCAGGGAAACGGGGTTCGGGCCAAGTCGGTGCCCGCTGAGGGGAACTCGGCGTCGGGGAGGTGTGGGAGGGCGAGGCGGCTGCAGGGGCTGGCGCGGGGCCGGGAGGGCAGCCGGGCTCCGTGCTGGGAAAACAAACAGTCGTGTCTGGAACGAGCTCCCCGGAGAGGGGGAGATGCCCTGCCCTCCTCCTTTGAGGAGAAAGCTTCAAACCTAATGTGGGAAAGAAGGGACGGAGACGCGGGCACAAAGAGCGCTGGCTGCTCCCCATCCCGGTGCCTCCTGCGCTCGCTGCTTCCCAGCCTCGCCCTTGGAGCTGGGAAGGCTCCGGGCAGGACCACAAGTACCTTTTTCCAGAGTTAGCGGTGGCTTTTTCTCGTAAGCAGGAAGTCTGACTGGAAGCCGCTGGATGCAGGGCTCATCCCTAAGGCGCAAAGTTGCCGTGAAAGATGGGATTTGGGATGTGCTAGAAACACGCGTGGACTGCAGGGAGGATGGTGTGCTAGCTTATTAAATCAAATTATAAATCAGCTTCTGTGATAGTGGTGAAAATGTAAGGGCCAGGTCTGCTCTGGGCTTTGTGCAGGTGAAGCTTGTTTCCAAGGATCTAATGGATGGGATGGGATTTTACTGGCTACAATCCAGAGGATTATGTGCAACTCAGATAGTGCTGAAATTTTTGCTATGAGGAAGTAGTCTGGACACTTGGGTAAGACACGAGCCTGGCGGAAGCCCTGGGCGAGCTCTGGCAGCCTCACTGCAAGTGCCAAAAGCCAGCTAATTTCAGCTTGTTTGGGTATTTCTCTACAAGCTGTAAATGTGTTTCAGGATTGTGTTGGAGACTGACCTTCCCAGGGATCCCAAGAGCAGCTGCAGCACGGGCTGTGGCAGTGTCCTGACACCCCACCGAAATCCCCGAGCCAGAATGTAAAACCAAATGCAAATTCACCTTTCCCATCCTCCTCAGTAGTGGAATATTTAATCTTCCTGGTGCGAACGATGTCCATGTTATGGCTCTCTCTCATGCACGGAGGGGAAGAAGGATCCAGTAAAACATATCATGCTTACAATCTAAATATATTTAGAAAGTCAGCATGGTGCATTAACTGATATTCAGATTAGCTTTTGGCAGAGAGTGATGTGGAGGAAAAATTAAGAACTGCCCAGACTATACCTGTTCTCTGAACCAATATCCAGGTCTCCCTGTTGAGCACCTTTGCTCTGAGTGGATCCAGGGGGGGATTTGCTTACATCCATTTGCATAGTTTGGATAGAAGATAAGTCTGTGTGCTTTTATTAATTATTTAAATGAGAATTGCAACCAACAAACTCTTTTTAGTCACTTGCTACAGAGTGGATAAAGATCCTTTTGATTTTCCAGCTTAGAGCTGGTAAAGGTTGCCTGTGACTCAGGAACTCCATGATTCAAGTTCTTCCTCACAAAACTCTGGATGTTTTTCAAAGCTCTGGCTTAGTTCCTGGCTTTACTAATTGGGCGAGAACTTCCTGGAATCAGGATGTGAATCTGAACCTTTTTGTTTTGTTACCAATCTGAACAACTCCTATTTTGGCTATTGTGGCCCAAACTTGGGTTTAGGCCAACTTTTAAAATAGGTGGTTGTTTTTTACCTTTTTCTTTTGGGTATTAGACTGAAATTGTAGCAAAAACTGATCGAGGGTGTTTGGTTGGGTCTTTGGTTAAAGGATTGTTTCTGGCCTAGGTTTTGGATGCACAGCACACTCTCAAAGTGCAATATTGTGCCGGAGTAACAGAAACCCGGTGTGGTTTGTTGTTGGAAATGTGGTCAGCTTATTGGAGGGTGTGAAAGTGAGTGAGTGCTGTGTTCAGTCACTGATGTGCTGGGGACATTAACTCAGTTACTCTAGTGGGGCCTGATCATTCCTTTTGCATTTGAGCACTGAATGTGAGTCATTAATGTGAAGTTATTAATGTATTCGTTCCTTTGAATGCCTTAAAGCCTCTCTTCCTGGTGAAGGGAGAAGCACAAGCTCTGGCTGGGATCTGTTCTGGTGTTGGGTGGCATCCTCAGGGGTGCTTTGCAGCTCCTGTCTGAGTCCAGTGGGGTTTTTTTTGGGCAGTGAGATAAAACCTCTGCTCTGCCCAAACTGGGCATGTCCAGGGTGTGTGACAGAGCAGCTCTGTCCAGAACTGTTCCTGAGCCACGTTCCACTGCAACAAGTGCTGTTGGAAATGATGGAAAGCAAGAGAACAAGTGTGAATGTTATTAATGCAACCCATGATAATAATGTTAAAGTGGCCTTTAGAGAACAGAGACTGAGACACCACTCTGCTCACCTTTGTAGGTACAGCAGACAGTCAGACTGACTCTTTTGCTCGTTCGTTTGTAGAAACAGCTGTAGGGTTTACATTTTATTTCTTCAGGGCTCACAGCTGAGAGTTAACACATGCTTGGGTCATTCCTAAAAGCTCTATCAAATTATCTGAGATTTGTCTTTGAGGAGTCAGCATCAAGGCATAACCAGATAAAAATCTGTATGTGCAACATGATACTGGTAAAAGTGAACGTTGATCAGAGCAAGAGCAAATATTGGCTGGGCCTTGATACTTGAAGAACGACGACGTGTGCAGACATTAAATAACGAGCAAACAAATAAGATGAAGATTTTAATCTGTTATGGTTTAAAACCAAACTGAGGTGTGGTAAGGTCAAAGTTGTGTCCTGTCCTCTGCAATTGAAATGTAGGGCTGGCCTTCTTGAAAATTTGGTGAAAAGATTGGCTTCAGAATTTGTGAATGAAACAAAGGAGTAGAATCTTATGAGGGTATGGCTGTGCCATAAAAATGGAGCGTGTTCTCCCTGAAATCCTCTTACCCAACTCTCTCTGGTTGCAGGGCAGCTGCCTCTTGCAGCTGGACAACGGTGGGAACTTGATGGATCCGAGCTTCCAGCAGAAACTGGAGGGGGAGAAGGAGCTGCTTCGCAGGGCGATCCAGAAAGAGCTGAAGATCAAAGAGGGAGCAGAAAACCTGCGCAAAGCCACGACGGACAGGAAGAACCTCGTGCACATCGAGCACGTGCTGAAATCCTCCAACAGGAAACTGGAGCAGCTGCACTGGGAACTGCAGGAGCTCAATGCAAGGATTGTAATAACAGACAAAGAGGAGAGGAAGACAGGTACATCATGGGGCATGGCTGACAGGAAAATTCCCTTGTTGTGCTGCACTGGTTATAGATATGGAATTGATACATTTTTCTGCTGGCTCACAAGTACTGTGAGCTTTCTCTGTTGTTTTTTAACTGATGAAATGATCTGTGGAGTAAAAAGTTGAGAATGGGGCAATCAGGGTGAAAGAGGCAATGTGAGAGATCAGTGCAGGGAGAAAACCAGCTGAGAGCGTTGGGTGTGGGCAATATTCAGGAATGGGCTGGAGGTGGAATTGGAGAGGTTTGAATAGAGTTTCTGGCAGTTAAATGTCCAAGTATCTCTAAGGATGAATGAGTCTAAAATTGGAGGAGTGCTTGTTAGGACAGGTTAATTCATAAACTAAGAAATAATTACAGATATGAGCTTAAGCTTCATTTGAAACAGTGTTGTAAATCAGTTCTGTAGACAAGACCTTTTTGTACCTTATTTTGTGGACTAACTTCCCTTTACAGAGTCACCCATCTATAACTCAGTGAAATGAAACAAGAGAAGATGACTAATGGTATTGATTGTGTTGTCTGTGCAGATGGATCTGCATCTCCAGATCCGTGTCTCTGGGAAAGAAACCCAGACCCCATGGCAAGGAAGGTTGAAGCTCTGAAAAAGCAGCTGCATGTTGAAATGAAAGTGAAACAAGGAGCTGAGAACATGATCCAAATGTATTCCACATCCAAGGTAAGCAGGAATGATCAGCCCTGTTGGAACATGGATTCCTGGATCAAAATTTGTGTTTGAAGTCTGTATACAAATCCCTCTCTGATAACTGGTGAGGGAGAGAAATTCATTTGCAGAGTTTGCCTGCTGAATCCCAGCTCTGTGGTTTTGGTCTCAGCAGAGTGACAACACGTCATGTTACTGCACATGAGGGTGGAGTAAGAGGCACATTCAGTCACTGACTTGAGGAAAGAAAGTTGACAAAGCATTGGGACTGCACACTGAGTTGGTGGGATGTTTGGATATCACTGGCTTGTTTAGGATTAAGCACAGTGAGTGGCATCTCTTTATGTGAGGAAAGTTTTCAGAAGTTTGCTGGGTTCACATTCATCCCACTTTCTGAGTTTGGTGTAATCATATTTAAAAGTCAAAGGATAATTAAAAAAAACTAAAATCCAGGCTTATTAGGAAGGTTGATTCAGTAAGACCAGCAGTGGGGAGGGTTGTGATATTTTTGTTTGTTCAAAACCTCTGCTCCCAGAACACCTTAAGTGCCATTAACCAGGGAACAACAAGCCTCAATGACTGCAGGGTTTGGTATTAACTGGACATGTCCTTGACCTGTCCTTTCCCTCTGCAAATGGAGATGGTGATCTCAGTCCTTGACCCTCAGCGGTGCCTCCCTTACATAACCACTCCTGTATTCCAGCCCAGGGTCATTTGTCACCCTTCCTGCAAGTGCCACCTCTCCCTCATAAGTGAGCACATCGTTGTAACCCATTTTTAGTGATCGGGGGTCTCTCTCTGGGTCTGCTTTCCCCTGGCAGGAGCGGAAGCTCCTGGCGACCGCTCAGCAGATGCTTCAGGACAGCAAGACCAAGATCGAGATAATCCGCATGCACATCGTGAAGGTGTCCCAGGCAGCGGGAGGGATGGAAGATGCCGTGGATCCAGCAGGTAAAGTGCTGATGCAGCCCAGAGCAGATTCAGCCGAAGCTGTAAGATCCACAGTACTCAGTGGATTTTCATCTTTGCCATGTTCCATCTGGCTAGTGAGGATGGGGAGCACCATCAGCGCTTTGGAGCTGCGGATCGAGGAGCTGAGGCACCACCTGCGCATCGAAGCTGCTGTGGCTGAGGGGGCAAAAAATGTGCTGAAGATCCTCGGGGGCAGTCGGGTCCAGGATCGCAAGTTCCTGGCCGAGGTGAGTGGGTGCTGCTCGGGCTTTCTGGGGTGGTTTCATGCCTGCACATTAGTGAGGCACGATTAGGGGCTGCACATTGAGAATTCCTGCCTGTTTCCTGTTCCACTCTCCGCTGGTAGGCCCAGGGTCGCTTGCAAGAGTCCTCTCAGAAGATTGACCTGCTGCGCCTGTCCTTGGAGCGGCAGCTCAGTGAGCTCTCTCCTGATCACCCAAAGAAAGCCCTCATCAAACAGGACCTGGTAAACACCTCGGCCCTGGGAGCCAGGCATGGCAGCATCCAACCCACCCCAGTCATCAAACCCACAGCCCTCACAGGTATGGGAATCCTGCATGGCCTGTTGCTGTGAGAGGGAAAAACAAGTTGTATTTCTTTCTCATTGTTGTAATGCCTCTTGTTATATGGATACTTGATTTGCTAGGAATTGGACTGCCTGACCACTCTAGTCCAGGCAGAGCTTTCTGATCATGTGGATTTGCAGTCTATTAATCCAGAGTCAGTTTGAACTATTAACCAAGAAATCATGAATCTGAGAAATTCTTGGTGAGGACAGGCTGATCTAGGATCACTTTACATAATAATGTTCCTTACTCTCCTAAAATTCTCAGGAACACTGGAAGTGAGACTGATGGGGTGTCAGGATCTGTTGGAAAACGTTCCAGGACGTTCCCGAATGACGAGTTCTTCTCCCATCTGTGGCAGCCCAAGCGATTTGAGGTCCCTTTCCCGGGCACGAGTTGGGCTGGGCATCCACGGCCGTGGTGTGGCAGGGAAGTACCTGCGGAGTGAAGAGCCATGTAGTGAGTAGGGGGTTCACTGTCCACCTGTGAGGGGCACGTGGGAGCAAGGGGGCTTCTCATCGTGGTGCTGGCTTAGCCTGGTGTGAATGTTGTTATAAAACACCTGATTTCTGCAAAACGAATGGAGAGAATGTATTGCATCACACCTGCTTCCAGCACTGTCCTAGGAATTACATTGGGTTGGGATGATCACCTTCAGCGTGACAGGTTCTCTTTGGTTAAAGGTTATAGGCCGTGTTTTCTCCTTTGTCCAGATGAGGTCCTTGCTGTGCTCAAAGTGGACAACAAAGTGGTCGGCCAAACAAACTGGGGCCCAGTTAACAACCAGGCCTGGGACCAGAGCTTTGTCATTGAGCTGGACAGGGTGAGTCTGCCCCAGATCCTTGGGCTGTGTTTGTCTTCTCATTTCCCCTTACCTGATTTGCTTGTTTAGCTGCTGTTCCACTGGACCCAACCCTGTATTGCTGCTGTCCCCGTGTCCTTTGATGTGCCAGTTCTCTCAGCCTTCCCCTGCAGGCAGAGCAGCTCTGCCAGACCTTCAGCCTGAGCAGCATCTGTTGTCCTTCTCTCCTTATCTGGGCAGTTTTATTTCATCTTATCAGCAAAGTGGCTCTCAGGGATTTCTAAATGGGGAGCCAAGACAGCAACCTCCAAGATGGTCTGTAGCTAAGATCTGAAAACATCAAAGCAGGGAAGAGAAGGACTAAAGAAATTTTTTACGCATGCTTTTTTTATAATTTTTTTTTTCTTTTACAACAGCGCGTGTGTGCCGTTTCCAGAGCGTGGGGCAGGATGTAACTCGTGGGCTGTTGTTTGTTTTTCTCCCCCCATCCCCCCAGTCTCGTGAGCTGGAAATTGCAGTGTACTGGAGGGACTGGAGAGAGCTCTGTGCCGTGAAGTTCTTACGTTTGGATGATTTCCTGGATAACGAACGTCACGGGATGTGCCTCTCGCTCGAGCCCCAGGGGATGCTTTTTGCAGAGGTATAAATGTAAGCTTTGTTTCTTCTTCAGACAGCTCTGCCTGGTTAGGGTGCCTGCCCTGAAAGCAGCTGTTCAACCCAGAGTACAAGGAATGGGAGGAGCAGCAATCCAGAAAGGTAGAATGACTCCTGACATCCCTCTGCACCAATATCCCACATAAGAATAAGAAACAACACGATCTAAAAGGTGTCCACGTGCCATAGCCTAGAGTGGCTCTTCAGCTGCTTCACTGTAATTATGTGTGTGTGCTGTGAAATCCACTGGTTTTTATTTGCTTTCATTATGAATCATCAGCGACACTTTAATTAAACATATGGCTTAATGGTCAGGATTGAATCACAGACTGGAGAATCAGAGATCCAAATTCCCTCTGGCTACGCTTATTTTATCATCTTTCTGAGGCTCATAATACTTTAAAGTACCAGCAGTGAAGAGATCAGCTACATAATCCCTTAAAAGCCACTATACTTTCTCCTTTGTGTTGTGATGAAAGTTCCTGTGGTTATCTTTCCAGGGATCTGGATCTCATGTACCAAAATTTGCCTCCTCTCCCCTTCCTTCTTGGGTTATTTTGTGGTTGTTTTGTGGTGGTTGGTTTTGTTATTTTGGGGTTTTATTTCTGTGCCATGAACTACTGTGCTCGTTACCCTCCAAATGGATGTGTTCCTTATGCATGGCTTTGCAAATTGGAGAAATTTTGTTTGGGATAGGAATTAGTCTTAATTCCAGGAGTTTTCTACATTCCTGGTAGCAGAGAATTTTAACAGCTAAACCCACAGTTGAAGTAACAGCTGTCCAGAGCCTGAAGCCAGAACAGTACAGTCTGGAGTCTATGGGAGTGACTCCTACCTTACCAAACAGATAGAAATGGACAGCCTGATGAGGGAACAGGCATGTGGGAAAGTTTGGGTTTACAGTTTAAATGAAGCATCCTGACAAATCCCTGTGGCTTCTCTGACAGGTGATGTTCTGCAACCCTGTCATTGAGAGGAAGCCAAAACTGCAGCGACAGAAGCGCATTTTCCCCAAGCAGAAAGGTGAGGGGCTGGACAACCCAGTGCTCACTGTCTGGGCTACCTTTGTGGATAACCCATGGGTGTTTGGGTGAAAACTGTAATGACATGAGACTGTAATTTATGTGTTGTCATCTCACCGGTGTTTTGACTCCGACTCCTCCAGGAAAGGAATTTCTCCGAGCTCCTCAGATGAACATGAATGTTGCTGCCTGGGGTCGCCTGATGATGAGTTTCCTCCCTCCCTGCAGTTCCATCAGCACTCTGAGTCCCCCACTCCACGATCCCACTCAGACAGACTTTCCTCCAGTTTCCCCACAAAGTCCTGCAGATTCAGCGTCCAAACTGAGCGGGTAAGTCGTGTTCTGAGCATTGCTGGATGACACTCCGGAATGGGGGTGGGGTAGATGTTAAAATTCTGTTACATCTTTCTAAGGTGGAAGAAGACACTGATGAGAAAAATGTATCTGTCTACACAAAAAGATGTAAAGGAAAGAAAATTCCACTCACATGTACTCCAACCACTGGCATAGTGTAACACTCAGAAGGGACAGAGCTGAGCTTTTATATGTGCTGTAGAAGAAAGTTCCCCCAAAATGAATTTTTGAATTGTTGGAGTTAACTTTTAGAGAATCAGTCATTCTCTAAAGAGATTATTCCCATTGATACACAAGACCTAGAAAAGAAAAACACTTGAGTCAACTACTGTGTCGCTGCTAAAATGAAGATTTCATATAAATTCTTGATCATACTGACTTATTTCTACACACTTGTGTTTCCTTGGTTTTATAGTATCAGAAAGCCAGTGTTGGAATATGAGTCTAACCAATTTAATTCGTTTAGGAGACTGTTGATACTTCATAGGCTTTAGGTGTGAATCAGGGAGTCCTGTTGTCCAGTGACTTGGGCTGAACACAGCAAAAGTGGCACAAAGGTGTCTGTGTACAATACTCACCCCTAAGGCAGAATCTGCTTCAATTCTGTCTCACAAATGCAGTGACTTCCCTGTGGCTAAGCTCACCTTTGCTGATGAAGCACCACCCAAGCCTCCACGCCTCTTCCTGATGGCCAACTCCAAGGAATCAGCACCATCTCCTGCAGATTCCCCGGTAATCACATGGGCTGATTGGGAAACTTGACTTTGTTGGTTGGTGTCCTTTCAAAACCTGGGCCTTCTGAATTGTTCATTACTGCAGAACTTCACTGTACTGATCTCCAGGGATTCAGAATCCAGGGAGCTGTTTTGGCATGGACTCTCCACAAAGAGTTGCACTTCTCTTTCTTTCTCTTTTCTTTTCCCTTTATAAAAAAAAAAAAAGTATAATTTGCTTTTCTTAAGAGAAGCAGAATGGAGGTGGATCAGCACTGGGAGTCCAGGGCAAGAGTACAGAACAGATGGCTGCCCAGAGAAAGCAGGAAAGGAGGGCCAGCAGGCTTTTAGGAGCAGATGAAGTTCTATGGGCAAAACCAAGGGCAGCTCAGCTTTTCTGATTGGAAGGAGCAGGAAAATTGCTTTGAGTAGTACAATGGTTAATGACCTGTGTTCTACCACATCTCACCCTTTCTCATTTGGCTTGGTGATGGAGACATTCATTGATCACTGTGACTCTTTTGACGTGAAAGGCCTTTTTTCTAGGAAGGAAATGTTCTACCCTAGACTTTTAAAAGTGTTTATTTTAAAAGGTTTGACCCTATAAAAAAAATCCTGTGCATGGGAATAGCTTTATGTGCCCACAGACAATCTGTTTTCCTGCTGCTTCCCCCTTGGCAGAGGTGATGACTTGGCCGTGGTTACGCTGGATCTTCCCAGAGGAGAAAATCTGGATGTGGGTGTTCAGGTCAGATTCCAGAGGATGACCCACTGTGTTTTTCTTTCTCTTCCCAGTGCCTGAAGAGGCTCCATGTTGAGGAGAAGTCCTGCAGCTCTGCTGGAACAGGATTTCCAATGCCAGTGTCTCCAAGGTAACTGTGGACAGCATGGGCTGCCTTGGATCACAGGTTAAAGAGTCCCTGGGCTGAATTTTTTTAGCATGCAGTCTGAAATTCTGCTCAAGGTGTGCTTTGGTTTCTTAGCAGCAGATTCTTAGTGCTGAGTGTGGACAATGCCATGAAAGCTCTTCATTCCACTCACCGGAGGAGTATGGAGTGTCTGTTACCTTTAAAGATGATCCTGGACTAAAAGCATTTAGGGTATAGGTTGTTATTTAAAAAAAATTTTCTTTCCTAGCAATTCTGTAGCCTGAGGTTCCTTTTGGCTGACGTTACATTCTAAAGCATCTCTGTATTCAGATATTTTTTCCCAGCAGCACGTTATGTCTGTTGTCTCAGTGCATTTTATTTGCAGTTCCTATTTGAGAACTTCCTTTCTCCTGTGCCCTTGTCTCCTACCAGCACTGTGCACATGTCTGTTCACCACAGTTGCTGCTGAGCCTGCTGAAAGGAGTGCAGGAGACATTGAATTTTACCACCCCAAGGATGGGGGTGGAGGGGAACTAACCCTGTTATGGGAAGTGACAGAGAGAGCAGCTTTGGAGAGTCAGGATTGTTCCTCTTGTTTTCAGTACAGATGGAAGTGCTCCCTGCCACTGGGAACACTTCCCTCACTTTAAGGTTCCTATTTTCAGTGGCAGAACAGCAGCAGCCCTCAGTTGTCAGGGTTTCAGCTTAGGTGAGGAGTGGTTGGCACAGCTGTTTGCTTTCCCTTTTGCTGAAGAGAGCTCCTTCCCCTAACACAAACACACACTCCTTTGTTATCTGCTCCTGCATCTCTGGGGGTTGTCTCAGCAACTCTTGTGTTTGTCTGCAGGAAAAGGACAGTTGAGCTGCAGGATTTCCACTGCATCGCTGTGCTGGGCCGTGGCCACTTTGGGAAGGTAGCACAGAAGGCCCCTGTGGAGCGGGGCAGGGGGGCTGTGGTTGGGAAGATGGGGCTCTGCTTTGGGGTCTGAATGGAGACATTGCAGTACAGGAGAGGTCTGCAGCAATGCAGACGCACAACAAACCCAGCCCAGCCACACAAGCAGCTGAAAACTGTTGTTAACAGTCAAAGCTCCTGAAGATTTGTGGCTTCAAAGCCTGCAGAAAACTGTCTTGGGAGTGCCAAGTCATTTCATAAAGCACAACCATTGCCATTCCTTTCATTAGCATGAGGATCAGTCATGGAATAGCTCCATTCCCAAAATCTGTGTGCCTGCTTGCTGGGAGAGCTCCTGAAGCACTGGGCCAGCTGTGAGGACATAACTTACACTGACATCCATCTGCACTGCTGCAGCTCAAAGAGCAGAGCTCTGCTTTTGGAGTTCCATGAGCTGGGTTTTGAGAATGACTGTCTGGAACGGATGGAAATAGTTTGTGTCGAGGGGAGTCGAAGTAATCCAGTAGGAAAAGACGAGATTTGTTTGAAGTACAGCTTTCCTGTTGTTTTTCAGGTACTGCTGGCCCAGTACAAGGCAACTGGGAAGCTGTATGCCATCAAAGCCTTGAAGAAGAAAGACATTATCAGGAGAGATGAGATTGATAGGTGAGCTTTGTTTGGAGATGGTGCTATTGCCAGAGGCTACATTAACACATCTGTAATCAAGTGTTAGTATGATGTGTACTGCCCATGGTACCATGAAGGTTAAATGCGACTCTAAGTCTTGGATAACTAAAATCAGGAATAAGGAAACTTCTAATGGGGTCTGACTTCTGCAAGAATGACACCTGAAGAACACTCTAAAAGCCAAGGTTTGCAAGTTTATAAGAGAAATATTTGCACTGGTCCTCGCTTTTTATTTCTCTGACTTGAGGTGTAAAGATTTTCTCCTTCATCCTGCCTTGCTCAAAACAGTCTTTTTTTTCCTGCCGAGTTTTAACACGAAGGTTTTTGTTCTTTGAATCCCGGCAGCTTGAACTGTGAGAAGAGAATATTTGAAGTGGTCAATTCCTCTGATCACCCGTTCCTTGTGAACATGTTTGCATGTTTCCAGACACCTCACCACGCCTGTTTTGTGATGGAATACACTCCAGGGGGGGATCTGATGATGCGCATCCACGAGGATGTCTTCCCAGAGCATATGGCACAGTGAGTTAGAATTACTCAACTCTCCAGGCACTGTAAATTTTTAACTTGAATTTCATCTATGTTTCCTGATAACTATTTCTGTCTTTTAGGTTTTATACAGCCTGTGTAGTCTTGGGGCTGCAGTTCTTGCATGAGAAGAAAATTGTTTATAGGTAATGCAGCAGAGACTCAAGTACAAGTTTGGCAACTTGGAAGTTGGTTTCTCCTGGGGCTGTGTCTGGAGTCCACTGTTTTGCTGGGGTTTCTAATCTTTCTGTCTGTCTTTATTTCCTCTACTGCCTGTTGCTATCAGCATGTCCATCGTGCTCTCACAGTAAAGAAAGTCACCTAGAAGCAGTTCATCTGGCATGCTGCAGGTGATTAATCCTCTGTGACATGTCAATACATTCTGGGGGGCACCTGTAAGTTGTTGCTTTCCTTTTCACTGTGGTAGTCAAGTAATTTGTCATGCTGTTGTGGGAGGCCTTTTCCAGATGAATTAGCCCCACTCAGCTCCAAGCTGCTTTGTGAGCCTTTTGTTCAGAGGAAAATATCAATAAATTAAGGGGAATCTTCCAAATGACGCATGATTTAAATCAAATGGAGACTTCTCTCAATTTAGTTTTTATTCTCTTTATTAACACTACCTTCTGCCTCTTGCAAAAAAAAAAAAACGTTGGATGGCAATCCTGAGACTTCAGCCACTGTTTTCTTTCATCTTCTTTGCCTGCAGGGACCTGAAATTGGATAATCTCCTTTTAGATGCTGAAGGATTTGTGAAGATTGCAGATTTTGGACTGTGTAAGGAAGGTGAGGGACTGGAGAAGCTGAAACGGAGCCATGAGGATTAATTTAGGATCTGGGCTGTAGTAGGTGGATGTGTGTAACTTGTATTAATTCTCATTTTAAAAATAAAAACAAACAAAAAAACCCACAACAAACCAAGCAACAAAAAACTCCTCACCTATCTGGCCATGATGAACTTGGGAAGAGTACTTTGTCATTTAATCTTCAGGAAACCTGTGAAGGCTTTTAAAACGTGCTTGTTTGTTCAAAAGAGCCAGAATATGGGATACTATAAAATGTGTACATGAGTAAGTGAGCAGTGGAATCTGCAGGAGGTTTTCTTGGGTTTGCTGTTTGTTTAAGCACTGTCTGTATACTTGGGTTTTGGAGCTGTTGGGGGCCTCAGGTTTCCCCACTTCCTCCCTGGCATTTACAAGCCTTGATGAGAACCCTTGCCCAGGTGACAACATCAGGTGCCAAACTGCAGCTGTCAGAAGGTGAGGCTGCCTGTGATCCAGTCAGTTATGTGTGCTGGATTTTCCTTTTCCTCCAGGAATAGGTTTTGGAGACAGGACGAACACCTTCTGTGGCACCCCCGAATTCCTGGCTCCGGAAGTGCTGACGGACATCTCGTACACACGGGCAGTGGACTGGTGGGGACTGGGTGTGCTCATTTACGAGATGCTTGTTGGGGAGGTAAGGCCACTTTTCCTCAGGGAATCTCACTAACCAGGCTTGGGGACCTGACCACTTGAGAGAAAATGTGCTAAATGGAGCCACTTATTTATTATTACTTATTATTATTACTTCAGTTACATTTTTCTCACTCATTTCACTTGCCAAACGTTAATTAATCCAACAACTCCCGGCTATTCTCATCCCTGTTTAATAGTGAGGAGCGGGTGGTATTTTTGTTAAATAACAGAATGTCCCAATTGCAGTCACCATTCCCTGGAGATGACGAGGAGGAGGTCTTTGACAGCATTGTCAATGATGAGGTCCGGTATCCACGATTCCTGTCAGCTGAGGCACTTGCTATAATCCGGAAGGTAATGGGCCTGGTGGGTCTCTGGGAGCCTGAGGAATTGTGAGTGTGGATCCAGAGGGACTCAATTAAGACTGGATACATCTGTGTGTGTAATCTGGAGCTGCCCACACAGACTAAGGAACCATTGAACATTTACCCATATTTTTCCTTTCCATCTCTTTACATAAGTGCAGTTCTGTGTAAGGATGACTAAGCAGGCTGCTCGCTGTTCCTGCTCAGTCTGACATGGAGAAGTGTTGATTCAAGGGCAGGAATGTCAGAGCCATGCAGTGGAGAGGGCTGGAGGCAGGGTTTGAATGTGACCCCTCAGTCACAGGTGCACAATTAAGCTGAGATGCTTCACGCAGTTTATAGCAGGTATCTTATTGCTGTTGGCACGTTGTTTACAAGGAACTGGGTCTGAGCTATTCCTGGCAGATGACCTTGGTGCAAAGTGAAAATGAGAAGATACTGAGGGACCAGTCCATCCCTTCTTTTGTTTTTCTCCCTGGAACGTTATTTCTGTCCATCCTTGGTACCACTGTTGAATTTTGAACCCATATTTCTGCAGCTGCTTCGGAAATGTCCAGAGCGCAGACTGGGAGCAGGGGAGAAGGATGCAGAAGAGATTAAAATCCAGCCCTTTTTTAAGGTAGGAACTTGCTTTATTTCCTTCTCCATCATTTTTCGTGTCTGAGCTGAGAGTGATTTGCTCTCTGTAGGTATTGGGACATATTTCCATTAGTTATCAGTGAGATCTTAGTGGTAGTTTCTGTTGTACCTCATTGCTCCATTCAGGAATATGTGTTTTAATTCACATTTGAAATGACATCCCTCGTGTGTTTTCTGGGATCTGTAAGCTGCCAGAGCCCCTTTGTTATTTCTGATTGTGCTCCTTCTATGTACAAATACACCCAACTTTGGAGACATCAACAAACCCTCCTTTCTAAATGAAGCTGCAGCATCAAAGCTGCTGTTCGGCGATGACGGCGATTGCCAGTCAGTGTATTCGATTGCAGCTGCATTTCTCAATCCAGCTTGTTCCCTTCCTTCTCTCCCAGGGAATTGATTGGGATGCCCTGCTTGCCAGGAGACTGAAGCCCCCCTTTGTGCCCACACTGAGAGATCCAACAGACATCAGCAACTTTGACGAGGAGTTCACCTCCCAAAAGCCCATCCTCACTCCCCCCGAGGAGGTCGCTGTCCTCACCCGCAAGGAGCAGACTGTCTTCAAGGACTTTGACTTTGTGTCCAGACACCTTGTAGATGTGTGATTCCTGTGCCACACAAAATGTGAACAGATTGTTACCACCTGGAGAGGACTTGGCATGGGCAGTGGAAAAGTCAACAGGATCCACGGAACAGGTAGTGCTGATGGCCCCAGGAGGAGGTGCCCCTGCTGGGGGTGTGCCAGCCTCATTTGTTGGAGGGACACTGGATGTCAGTTATCCTTAAGGAATAATTCATGTTTGACCCGATGTATCTTCTGCTGTCACTGAATGTAGATGGAAATTTGGAATTAAGGGTGGACTCAAATCATCTCTGCAGCCCAGGCTGCTCTTTGAAAAAAGCCTAAGTGAGTAGTGTGGCTTTTTAATGTTGTAGAGTAGCAGGGGGAATGGCCACTTCTCACTTATTTTCTAGAGAAGAGATGCAGCATTTCCTCCTGGTAATGATTTTATGCCATTTCCCACTCATAAATATGTGTATGCCAGGCAAGGAGTGGATTTGAACATAACCAAGACAATGATGTTTGATAATGATCCAAGTGATTTATCTTAAGGAAAATGAGTCTCTTTCTACTTCATTAAAGATGCCAAATCTTAGCCATTGTTTTTAATCATATAAAACCCCACAGCTTTGCACGTTTTTCCTTTTTTTGAAAATAAAGATATCTTTCCTTATAATAAATGTTCAGCTTTTCATCTCCTTTGTGTTAGCTGAATGTTTTAGATTAGGGCTAACCACACTCTGCTCAACAGGCAGGATTTTATTTTGCTCTGTAAATGTCAATTTACAATGTAATATTTTCCTTCTTCCTTCTCACTCAGGTTGTCTGAGTACACATTGCATGGTGTCATCAGCTGGCACGTACCAATGACTGCTGTCAGGTTGTCTTTCCCCACATTTTATCAGTGTGTAAATCCTGTATCTTTTCTGTTACCTTGTTGAACAAAAAGGAAGGGTCTCTAGAGCTGATGCAAACAGGGACAGAATCATTGCTCTTACAGTGTTTCTTTAGCAGATGTAGACAGGAGAGGGCCTGAGGCAGCTGTGCTGACCTGGAGATAAAGGATCCAGGGAATTGGCCTTGTTAAACCAGGACTGCTCCAAATGCTGCAGAATTCAACAAGGTAAGAGCCACGGTGGTGCAAAACTGAACCTGCATTTCCTGTTTTCAGAGCCAAGTATAACTGGTGCTGAAATCTCCGTCCTGCAAAGGTCCTTTCAGCCTCCTGCTCAGCCTGGCAGGACACCGGTCCCTTTGGAGCAGGGGAGATGTTTTCCTTGCTCTTGTTTGAGTGGTAACAGTTGGCTGTTGGCCCCTGGGGTGTGTTTTGTGGCTTTTCTTAAGGTCAAGGCCACTGGGAAGTGGGGAAGTGGCACAGGGGATTGTTAGCACAGGTGAAACCTAGAACTTGGGTTCAAAGAGAGAGGCATAAAGAATTAAAAAAATGCATATTTAGTATTTTATTTTATAATTTAGAGTAAAAAAAAAAAAGGTAAATTAACATCCCAGTGCTTTTTAAAAATATTTACCAAACAGAGCAAAACTGTGCTTTGAGCTGTAGAACCTGCTGACAGATTTCTACTTGACTGATTCCTGAAGAACCAGAAAAGATGATCCAGGCTTTAGCAGGCACCACAGTGACACAAACAACTACAGAGTCCATTCTGGATGGTTATTGCAGTGTCACAAAAACAATCCTTAGTGTTTTTATATCCCTCTCGTAAGAGCTTCTACCCTGAACAAACCAGACTGGGCACAGATCACACACTCTGGACTTGGTCAAAAAAGGGATCTTGTGCAGTTTTCAAACTGCTTTTGGACTGTCATGCTGTGGTAGTGGCTGCACTGTCCTTTCGTGAGTGTTCATTAACTTTAAACCCTGAGTGCATCCTCCTGGCTTGCCAGATGTGCTCCTGAGCTGCTCTCACTTCCTGAGCCAAGGCAATTAGGGCACAAAATAATTTTTAATAATGTTTTGTTGTGATGTTTTTTGGTGTGGTGGGGTTTTTTTGTTTGTTTTTTAACAGAAAAGGGTCAGGACTAAAACTGACACCACAGCCTTTTCTGGTTTTGAAGTTGGCCATCCCAAACTTCCTTTTAATACCCCATCGAAAACTGAACTATTTCAATGTAAAACAAGTGCACTTGCTGCTGTCAGCAGCCCTCATCTCATCCACCAGCACCTGGCAGCTTTCTTCTTGCACTGGAATTGTATTCTTTTATTAAAATCTCACTAGTGTGTTGAGGTAGTAGTAGTTTTACCAATAACTCAGCAGCCAAGCATTACTCTTCTGTCCAGAGAAAAGTAGATGGTATCATTCTTTGCTGACTTGATTCCAAATAGCCTGTGAATTGTTAACAGCAGCATCAACTTAAAAAGCTGTGAGGAAGCTGCTCAGGGCATCCCAAAGTACAGGCTAATTATCTCATAAGCTGAATTGGGTGTCTTACAGCTGTTTCTCATGCACTTAACAGTGTTAAGCCTCAAAGCTTTGTGGAAAGCATTAACTTGAGGCATGTGGATGAAATGAAATTTGCTTTTGACTGTCTAAATATTTACTCAAGTATTTCTGTTCCGTGCCCAATACTACTGACAAAAGGCACTGCAGTTCTCCCAGTCAGACCTAGGCTGAAGAAAGGCCACAAGAATTACACTGATCCTGGTTTTGTCTGTAATTGCTGCTTTTTTCCCAGAAGCAAAACGAGAGGGAGACCTCAGGGAAGAGAATTTTTCAGGAGGTTTGGATATGGTTAAGAAAAGGCAGTAAGTTTAGAGAGATCCCTTTGCTCGGACCAGAAATCAGCTCTGCTGACCTTGGCCTTCCCAGAACCAGGGTCTCATCTTTAACTCATATATCTGTATATAAAAAATAACCCTGGCTATCCCTGAAAAGTGGAGCCGGTTGCACAGTCCGTGCTGTGTCAAAGTTCAGTGCGAGGAAGCAGCAGCAATTGCTCTGCCCAGCAACCTGCAGGGGTGCTGGTACTCCTGGCACTACACAGGCTCACTGTTCCTGTGAAAATAGATTTGCTCCCACGCAGTGAGCTGGCGTGAGCAGAAGAATCTCCAGAGGTTGAGGATTACGCCCTGGTCAAAGGGATTCTCCCGCTCGGAGTGGCGCAGGTAGGAGATGCGGTGGTGGGACATGAACTCCCAGGTCGTGGTGTTGCAGGAGATCAGGTACAGGTGGGACACGAGCAGCAGCAGGACCACAATGGTGAATGTGACTATCAGGAAGAAGGACAGGAGGAGGAAAACGTTGTGCTGCAGCCATTCCCAGGACTGTTGAAAGTAGAGGCCTGACCTTTCAATTCAAAGAGAAACAAATCTGCGGTTAATGGAGCAAAACTAGTTCCATAAACCTGATGGCACATTTAAGTTTGATTTGTAACTAGAGAGCTGCTGATAATCCTCTACTGCAGAGAGTTCATATACTGTAAAGTCCTGAGAGACTGCACCTGTAGGGATTGGAATCTAAGAAGTTTAGAAGTGCTGGTTCCACTGACAGCTGAGAGACAATGGTCTTGAGTGAACTCCTCTCCTGAACAGCTGGAACCCTGATGGAGTTTCCAGCACTTGGACTTGTAAACAAAGATCAGTAACTGAAGCAAAATGAACAGTGAAACCTAAATTATCAGATTCTGCTCAAGATTAGGGGGCTCCAGGATGCAAAAGACGGTGAAGATCCAAAGCCAGTCCAACGTTCTACACCAACCCCTGCGTGGGCCTCAAGGAGCACCACAACTTTCAGCCATCTCAGAGGTCCAAAGGCCACCTCCCACCCTTACCAAGCAACGTGGCCTCCCCACAGCAGAACCACAAGCTGCACACCCAGGTAGGCCATGAAGAGGGGGTGGTTCCTTTCTCCCACACAGTTCTCAAGCCAGGGGCAGTGGTGGTCGTAGCGCCGCACGCAGTGCTGGCACAGCTGGCAGTGCCTGGCTCTCATGGGCTGCTGCAAAACAGACACAATCAATCAGAAAAAGAGAAAAAACTCACTGGCAGTAGTCCAGTGCTGTCCCATTCCCTGCTTGGTGGAACAGAACAAAACTCTTCCTCCTGAGCAGTCCTGTCCCTAAAGCACTTCAGGGTAAAACAACAGCACATCAGCATTGCTGAGAACAGCTCCAGGGGGTCGTGATTCCGCTGGAACACACCCAGATGGGTGGGATCCAAACTAAGTGACTCTCCCACATTACTTCTATCTACACATCTTTATTACCTACATATTTATAGGATGTCCAGTGTGCCACAGAGGGAGACAGAACCCATGAGTCCATTTAGGAAAGCACGAACACAAAGCTGAGGGTGAGAAAGAAGGACCACTGCTGTTGACCAGAGTAGGCAGGGATGGGATGTTTTTAAGGGATGCACAGAGGAGGGAAGTGTCTCTGCTTCTGTGTGAGTACAAGACACCTGCACAGGAAAGCAGCTCAAAGACCAGGAACAGAAAAGATGAAAGACCTGGCTGAGAAAAGTAGTGATTCCTAAGATCTGTGCCCCGAAGCACAGAAATGCTTCGCCAGCTTTCCCTCCTGCAATAAGCTCCCTTCTCCTGGTAGATATTCTTTAGGAATTTATGGAAGCTGGGATAATGCTAATTTTATTAAACTGATAAGGATCACTCTGAAAACAGGCTTTAGGCAAACTGTTTTAAGAGCTAATTAAATTGCTCTAATTTCTCCTTCATGCTGTCTTTTCCCATCCAGGCCAATGTTCTGTTGTTTTAAGGCCTCCAAACAAGCTCTCAGTGATGATCAGTTCACACAGGGCATGTTCAACCTCCCTTCTGACTATCAAGGTATGTTTAAAATAACCTTGACACTGGTTGACATGGCAGTAAGAATGTGGAATACAGTTTTTCCATGGCAAAAGAAGATGCTTGTTTCTACAAGCCAGCAGGGACTTCCAGCCTTTGTGCCAGTGTCCATCACTACTGCATGTGTAGCAACACAATCTGCCCAGCCTCCTTTGAGCAGCACTGATGTTGCTGAAAACCACCACCAGCAGCAGCTGAACTGTCAAATCCCTCATCCCATCCCTTTCCAGCACGTTCTGGATGCCCACCTTCACCAGGCAGTAACCACAGCGCCGCAGCTTCACCTCGCTGGTGCCCTGGGGCGTCACCAGGCTTTGTCCTTCAGCCTCCCCTGCCTGCAAAAGAGAGACAGAGAGGTTTGTGTGGTGCTGTCTTGGCATGACTGAGCTGTCTCACTGCACCCTTTTACTCAGCAGTTACACAGTGCTGGTTATCTCTATCATTGGGAAAGTTAAACAGAATAATTCCTCAGAATTCCTAGAGAAGCTGCAGTTGTGGCACAGTGAGAGGGAACGGGCTCCTGTAACCGTGCAAAGAATGTTTGCACAGAGGCAGAACTAACTGTGGACAAGACACACTTGGGGACAAAAACAAGATTTCACTTCCATCCCCAGCTGCACTCACATTAATGATGGAGGACCAAGATTGCTCACGCTTTAGTCCTGCACAGTCTGGAAGGCAGCGAACCTCGGGCAGACTATCAGTTACGGGAACTTTGCATCTCAGTTTATCTCGCTGTAACTTGTTTGTGTGTGTGTCCTCTGGGAGAGCAACCAATCCATAAACAGCTCAATAAACAGGGCTGCAGAGAGCACTGTCTGCCAAGCCTGCCCTTCAGTTTAGGTTTTTGTGCACTTGTACCGCTTAGCAGCAGTTAAAATAAAATAGGTCATGTATACATTCCACAGGGCACTGCAGCCTCTGCTGGAAGAGAGGACTTGGGCTCAAATGGCACAGTCACTTACAAAGTCAGAGTGCTGTGAAAGGCACATTTAAAGTCTGACCCCTATTGCTGTCGTTACAGAATACAAATGTGAGGCACTCTGGTCTCATCTCCAATGGCCTGCACTTGTTTCCTTCCTGCCAGCACAACACAACTATTTCACACTGTTCTTATCTTGCCGAGTGGAAAAACAAGAGAAGCCTGTGGACTTTATAGCCTCACCACTTAGTTCATTTATGAAGGGATTTACCTTTGCTTCCTCCTCAGGCTTAACAAAACCCGGATCCATGAGAGACACCTTGAAGTACAGCAGGACGGAGCACAGAACCAGCAGGACGAAGCTGAGCGGCTGCAGCAGCTCCCCGCGCTCCTCCTGCTCGCGCAGATCTGAAAGGTACCCAAAAAAGAAAGAGCAGCAGCTCCTTGTGAAGCGTCCGGGATGTTTCCCTCTGGCCTTAGCGAAGGGATCCCCCACTTACGGGGAGAACCGGGGCGGGGTGAGCGGGGAGAGGCTGAGAAGGGGCTCCCCACACCCTCCCCTGCCCTGGGGGGGACAGCTCAGAGCCCGCACAGCCCCCGCACCGATCCCCGTCCCCGGTGCCCCCGGGGCGGAGCGGCCCCGGCCCGGCCCTGCCTCACCCGTGCTGTGCAGGAGGAGCCCGAGCGTCAGGGCCGCGCTGAGGGCCGTGTGTGCCGCCCGCACCCAGCGCCCGCCGGGCCCCATGGAGGCTCCGCCGCTGCCCCGCGGCTCCGCCGGCCCGGAAGGGACCGGGCGGGGCCGGAGGGGACACGGGCGGGGCCGGCAGGGGCAGGGCCGGCCGGGGCAGGGGCAGCGCCCTGAGGCGGGGCCAGGGCGGCCCGGCCCGGCGGGCGGGGGTTCCGCGGGTACACGGGACTCACTTTGCTCCTCCTGGCGGGTTCCGTGTCCCTCAGGCTCCGCTGCCCCGTGGAACCGGGCTCTCCTCCCCACCGCTCCTGGTTTTTCCCGCTGCAGCCCGCGGGCCCGTCCTCCCCCACACGCCGCCAGCGTTGTGCCCTGCGAGCCGGCCCGGCGCCCCGGGGCCTTTCCCCGGGGAAGGTGTGGGTGGGGGTTGGACCAGATGATCTCCAGAGATCCCAACTCTGTGTGGTTCTGTGACTCGGTGTTTTCCCTCAGCCCCTTCCCGCTCCGAGCCCGGGCTCTCGCTGGCGCTGCCGGGCTGTGCCAGCGGGTGTGGGGAGCGCAGGGCTGGGCACAGTGCTGGTTGTGCAGGGAGCGATGGAAGGGTCGGCAGAGATGGAGCAGGCAGCGGGTGCCCTTCGAAGGCTGCTCGAGGTGGTGCCTGAGGTGATTGCACCGCGTGAACTCCGGTCTTGCCAGCGTGGTTATTCCGTGTGGCCATTTCCATCCCCTGGGAGGAGGCACCGGGGCCGTGCCTGGGCTGGACGCGGTTACAGCGCCCCATGAACCAAACGGAGCCTGGAGATTGCCCGACAGAACTTGCGGTCTAGCCGGGGATGTTCTGCACTGAGGAGGCTCCTGGCTGAGCGAGGGCCCGCAGAGTGAAGCAGGTGTGTTTAGAGAATGGCCCTTCTCAGCTGAAATAGGCAGCTAAAAGCAGTTGAATTGCAGCCCAGCTGTCTCTGGCTGACAATAAAAAAAGCTAAGGTGACTATAGCTTAGATGTACATATTTACACTTGGAGTGTCTGTCTGTTTAGGGGAGATGAATCTCATCACAGGCCTGTAATAGTGCCCAAATCAGTGCTTTTTCTTTACACTACTCTCAGTTTTAACACAAATAAACCTTGTGCTTTTGTTACCTTCCTTCTCAGTGAAAATTTGGAAAGAAAAAGCCTATTCTTTCTAAATTTACTCTCCAGCACCTTAAAAGTAGCTGATTCCTCGATATTGTTTGCCTATAAATTCATTATTTTGGTCTCTTTAAGTGAGCCAGTGGCCACCTGCTGATTCCAGGAAAGCACCTGGCTCTGTGGGTCACTTAAATGGTTTACCTGAGACATCTGGGTTGAAATGTTAATAAAAATTGTAGACAAAATTTTCAACAATCATTCAAACCCTTTTGCTTTAATTTTTTTTATTCTAGGTGAATGCAAAACCTACAGCTATCCTCCCTCAGACACCTCCCAGACCATACTGGTGCTTCAAAAAAAGGTGGGTAGTGCCTTTCCTTCCTTGCAGAGAGGTGTAAATTTTAAAGCTTAATGGGAAGGCAATGTGAGTAGTAACAACATTATCCACTTGAAAGTAGAAACATTTTGATGTTCTAGAATAATCTGTCTTAAGGAGTGATTAAAATAATTTGGTGCATGTTACTCTTTTTATCTCCTCCTCTAGCTGTGAAACCTGTCTTGCAGAGATCAGAGCTCATCTCTGTCTCAAGGGTTTCAGCCTCAGTGAGTGGTTGAAATTAGGGCTCAGTTACAGGATGTCTCCACTAGCGAGTTTCTGAGTGGACAATCTAGGTTCTTATGGAATTCCAGCTAGGAATTCCACACTGCTGGAAGCCTAAGGTATCTCTCTGTCCTCTTCCACAGGGCACACTTTCAGAGCAGTTCAGGTTCCCATCATTCCTCCTCCCTCTCCATTCACTCCAAGTCGGATCCTTTAGAGACTCCACAAGCCCTGAATTAACCGGCAGTTGAGCCCTTGCAGGACCAGGGTCTTAAGAAGAAAGTCACGCTGGCCTTAAAGCAGATTGAGTGGCTTAAGCCAGAGGCTTTTCTTAAGTGCTCAGCTCCTGCCCACTTACACAGCCTGGGCTGTGGAGAGAGGGCTGCAGGTCTGGTACGGAGTTCAGAGCAATCTGGACACTCAAATATTGTCCTGATTTTTTTTATTCTCCTCTCACACCATTTCCTAACAATACTCTCTTCCTCCACATCTCTTTCCTGTTGACAAACAGTATTGTATCCCTTGGAGCGATGAAAGGCAAAGCCACTGAACTGCACCATCAACACATGGCAGTTCCTTTCACTTGGGATGAAATATTTGACAGCAAATGGCCCAGTAATGCACCTCAATAAACCACATCCACAGAGCAAAGGAAGAAGACACTGTTGAGCACTGGGTTTAATACACAGAGGGTATCCAAAGGATACAACAGAAAAGTTAATTCATTCAGAATTGTAAGGAAGCAGCAGTTGTGCATTTTGATTTTTTTTTTTTTTTTGCTGGGTTTCACCAGGTACAAACATTTGAACCGGGCCCCACATCAGGCAGGTCCATGGACAGAGGAAAAGCTCGTTCTAACGGAGGGGATTTTCTTTCAGCAAAACAAGGAAATACAGATTTGGTTAGCTTAAAAACTTCTTTAAATACAAGAAAAGAGTTACAGAGAGAGAATCAGTGACAAGTATAGGAAATCAAAATAAAGTCTGCTAAAGCAGAAGTGTTTCAGTTCAGCAGGAAATCTCCCTCAACCCTTATTTAAGCGCTGTCTTCTCCTCCAGCCCCCCCGTGTTCCTTTTCATCCATCCCTATTGCCCTCTGTGCTTCATCCACATGGTTGTCGTGGAGACCAGTTCTTTCCCTATTTTTAATTCTCTTTTCCTAGCACAAGCTGCCCTCTGACACCTGAGCTGTGGCAGGTTCCTCCCTGAACAGGCTTTAGGAAATGTCTTTCCTATGGATACTGCCCTGACTGCAGTGCCCCTGGAGCTCCTGTCCCACTGGTAATTAATTGCCTTCTTCAGGTGATAAGAAACTCAGCTCACAGCTCCAAGACTTTTCTTCCCACTCATCCTTTGCACAGACCAGTGACAGCAGCAGAAGCCCAGCCAAGGTGACAAGCTGGGCAGGATTCAGTGCTGAAGAGAAACATTTCAGTTGGAAGGTGCAGGGAAACAGCAGCCACGGTGCAGATGAGTTATCTGCAGTGCTCTGATTGCCACAAATATCAGTGCTAAACTTTCCTGGCTTGGTCTAGATGAGGAAGTCTGGTGCTGCTGGGTGTCAGGCATCATACAAGGAGACGCCAGTCCTTACAAGCAATTCCTCCCACAGATCTTGTAAAATGGAAGCACTGGTGGGAAGTTGCCCAGCAATTTGGAAGTTGCCCAGCACTGCCTGCTGAGCTGGGGGCCACTGAAGGACAGGGCAGCCTCCAGCCAGGGAGGAAACTCCCCACGGTCCAGGCAGAGGGATCCTTTGTTGGCACAGTCTGTGCTGGGAGCTACTGAGCTGTGTTTGTGCTCTGCTTGCCAAGCTTTGCAATACTGAAGGAAATGTAGTGGTGAGATCATGAAGAAGAGTCTGGGTGGGCCAACAGCTACTGAGCACAAGGAGCACCTCTGCCATATGGTTACTCATTCTGAACTGGGTTTTCACGTGACAGTTCTGGTGACAACTCTGTCTCCAAAAAGTGCTTTCAGGTCACTCCTGTTGTTTCAGGTAGGGAAACTGTGCTACAAACTCCTTTCACACTTCCAATTCCAGGATTCCTGGATTGTGCTCAGGTGTTCAGAGGATACCTTCCTCTCTTTTGCTCCTTACTGAAGGGGAAATGTTGTTTCTCAGCTCACAAATTCTTGGCTTGAAGACACAGAAGCTTGTAGGCTTCATGTGACTAACAGGGATGGTACTTCTTTTATCGTGCTGTGTCAGGAATTTACCTTGTTGGGGCCTGACTCAAAGTCTGATGTGTAGCTTGCTGTAATTGCCCAGTTGTAGTTCGCCCTTCCCCTGGGATCAGTGACAGATTTCAGCTCAGATTGAGCTTTTCTGGCAGCCTGGCCTGACTCCATTGATCCCCTTGTTGCTGGGAATTTGCAATTTTTTCATGCTGGTTCAGGTACAGGTTGCTGAGGGGCTGTGAGCAGTGAGGACAGAGGTTTACAGGAGGAAACAAAGCTTTGGTGCAGCTTGGAGCTCGTTAGTTTGGGATGCAGCAGTAACAGCTGAGCGTGGGGGGGCACTGGTTTGGAAAACCCAAACCTTTGGGGTCTTGAGGCAGATGGAACCAAGTCACGGGTTGTTCATTAGCCTTGATGTCGTTGTGCCAAAATGTCAGAGAAAAGCCTGACTGCTTGGCTTGGCTGGCAATGCAGGGCTGAGCTCTGCTCCAGCTGACGTGGGACTTCCACTGTCTCCCTAGGGTGGCAGCTGCATTCTGGGGACAAGGGGTTCTGATACCTCTCCCTCTGTGCTGTGTCCCCTTCTGCTCCACTCCCTCCTTGCCAACACAGAATCCTCAGTGCTTTTTGTCAGGTGAGTCAAGATTTTAGTGGTTGGAGCTTTCACTACACAGGCATTGGGAAGGAAGCAAAGCTGGAGGGGTGGCACTGTCAAGTGAAACAACTTCAGGACAGCAGCACCAAATGGAATTAAAGAGCAAAACCTGACTGCCCTAACACACCCAGGCTGCCTGGCAGCCCCTCTTAGTTTTGCATCTAGAAGGAAGATCAGCAAAGGTTACACAGAAAACATACCTTGAAATAAGCTTCCCCATCTCACAAATTCTTGGGGAACAGGAATAAGAGAGAGAAAAATACATTTTAAACGACTGCAAAAAAGTATAATTTGTCAAGTTTTGCAAATCTTACGAAAACAATTCGAAAGTGACACAAAAATATATATAAGTTTGAAAAATACTTAAAAGAAAAAAGTACAGATCTCACAATACCAAAACAAATGACTTATGGTTAAAAAGAGAAAAAAAAAAAAGACATTGAATAACACCATATTGGCAGAAAAAGTAAACCTGTCCAGGCAGCTGTGTTCTGTCAGTTAAAGTGTCAGTTTGTGGATCAAGGATCTGTCTCTAACGTGCTCACAAGGACAAGATGAACTCTGAGCATTAGCAGAACCTCATAGCAGCGAGTCAATCTGAGAGCAAACGTGTCTGAGGGGAGAGAGCAGCGAGTTACTGAGCTCAGAGGCCTGAAATGTCCCACCTCACATGCCTGTGGGCTCCTCTCCTGCTACCAGGCATAAGATCTTCCCTAAGTCCCTTCTAAGGGAAGATTTGTGACTTGTCCCAGGGCTGTGGTGAGCAGTGGGCTCTGAGCAGGAGCTGCACGCTGTGCTTTGAGTGTCTGGCTGGGAGGACCTTCAGCGTCTGGAGTGTTAGAGGGGAAGCCCAGCTGGGGGGGGATTCTCCTCTCACCTGCATCACAAACTGCAGCAGAGCTGCTGAGGGCAGTGGGGCTGCACTGGGAGCTGCTGCTGGAGTCAGACAGCAGTGCTTTGGGGCCTTCTGCTTCCGAGAGGAGGGTGGAACAAGAGGGGCTGTTTCATGGGATTGCCCTGCAGAGGGTGCAGGGACACTCCCCCCTCTCAGGAGAGGACCTGAGCACCTCCAGCTCCAGCAGTTGTGCTGCAGCGAGAGTCCTGTGAAGGGGGATTGCTGTGCCACTGAGCACAGCTGGTGCTGATGCAGATTGAGGAAGGGCAGAGCAGCTCCAGGCCATTCCTGGGACTTGCATGAGCGTCCAACTGCTCTGGACCAGGGCCTGGGAGAGTTTTTATGCAGAGAAACACTCTGGCTTTGTAGCCCTTCCCCACCAAAGAAACACAGCTAAAGTGTGGTGAAGGTCTGGAATGAAGATGTGTAGCCCTTTGTGAACAAACCTGGTGCCTCCCTCTGAGAGAAAAGCTCCGTGTAGCCAAGAATGTCTAACTGGTTTTACTGGTCATCCCTGACCTTCTGAGGGTGTACTGCCAATGGGGAGGACAAAACAGACCTCTTGACTTAACTGGGAATGTTTTACTTCTGGCTGACCCACAAACAGGTAGCAGTGCTTCCATTAATGTGAGCCTTCTCTAAAAAACCCTTAAGGGAGTGAATTAACTTAAAAGATCTTTCTTCTCGATTTTCTCCTTTTATAAATAATCACCAAAAGGTCGGTTCTTTTGGTCTGTCTCTCTGGTGTTGTGTCCCCCATCCTTTCTGACCAAATAAATAACTCATCCCTGCCTGCAGCCCCACTAAGCAGCCAGTGCTGATTCAGGACTGGTGTTCTTGCAGACATTACAAGACCTCATGCAGTACAGCAAAAAGGGAATTCTCTAAGAAGTGGGAAATAAACATGTCACACTAGTGATCACACAACTAGGTCTTCAAGCTCATGGTCATTTGAGGCTCTCGGTGTGGTCTAAAATAAAAAGGTTAAAAGATACATAATGTAGTTGTTGTCTTTGTTTTTTGTTTTCTTTTTTATACAGAAATCATACACACGGAACTTCAACCTGAAACTTCATAACAAAAAAAAGTCCACTAAGTTAAGGAAAGCATTTTGTTGTGCAAAAAGTCCCTCCCCCCCTCCTCTGTTCACCTTCATCTACTGAGGGTCTCACACACACACATAAAGTTTCCTTCCAACGGGCGAGTTGGTAAGAAAGAGTCCTCCCTATGTACAGTGAGTTAGAGAGAAGCTGGATACAGTGCTGGCAAGAGGCACTGGGGGAGTGCCTCTATCTGGAAGTGTCCATGTTCTCCTCCTTAAAGTTACTGCAGTGCTCTATAACTTTCCTATGGATAAAACAAGGATAAGGAGAGAGGCTTTAGTGTAAAACTCATTGCACCCAGTTGTGAGACAGTAAGGTAAGAGCTGTCCCGGTTATCTCTGTGTAACTTTATCCTGTTTGTGTCAAAACCACTAAATTCCACAACAGTTTGGAATGTGAAGTTGCAGGAGTGCACATTCATTCACCACCCCCCTAATCCGAATCCTCAGACACCTTTGAATCCCAGCAGGAAACACGTGCACACAAATGTCTGTCATTCCCTGTGCTGTCACCTGTGCCATGAACTCACACAGTGTGTAACTGTGACTGTCTCCTGCAGGCTGCAGTTCCCTCCAGCACTCAGTGACCCTTCAGCTGTGGGAACACCTGCTGCCCACCCACCAGGTATGTGTTCCCAGCCCATCCCTACCTCTTACTCATCCTGCAGGTATGAAATCACAGCTCTCGCTCTGCCAGTGACCAGAGACTGCAGCTGGCTTTAAAACCCTGAAAGGATGACTCCAAAAGAAGGTCCCAAGAACTGGAGAAGCTCACGAAGGTGATGGACTCTCCCTACCTTTTGAAAAATGCTCTCATTTTAACTGTGCAGTCAGTAGTTTTAGTGACAGACCAGTACGACACCAGAGACAGGGAGCCCCCACAAGCGTGGGGACAGTGATGACTGCAGACTGTTGGCCTAAGAGCTGCAATTGGTCATGTGGCTCCCTTGGTCAACAAGCCAAGTCTGTAACCAATTTCCCTGGCAACGATCTGTGTGCACTGCCCACCTACAAACACCTCTAGTCCTCTGTTTTCATCTTATTTTTCCCGTGTTCACTTCATACCCCTTGCACACATCAGTGCAGGCCTTGCTTTGGCAGCCTCACTTGATGTGGAGGAATAAAAACTAAAGCAGAGCTAAACTGGATGTTTGTGACAGTGCTCTGATGTCCTACCGGGCCATCTCCTTGGTCTCTTGCCGTGCTGAGGCCATTTTGATCATGTCCTTCAGGAGGGGGATCCCACCTTCTTTGATCAGCAGTGGGCAGTACTTGTCAGCTGCAGAGAAAAGAATGGAACAGGTCCTTGTGAGCCCTCACGAGAGGGGTACGAAGGGGGGCAGGAGGGCAAGGAGGAGGATCAAAAACAGTGAAGGAATTCCCTAAGCACCAAGTCTCATTGTTTTTGTTTGGCTGTGCTGCCTGGACACTCCTGCATCATTCAGAAAAGGTTTTCTCTCCCTCTGTGGCTTAACTGGGAAGACTTTTTCTGCTGACAGCCTCAGAGCCACCCCCTCCAGTTCTACAGTGCACGGGATGTGATTTCAGAAAGGGCACTTACGGTAGACAGAGACCAGGTTATAGAGTGCCCAGGTGGCCCAGTGCTGGCTGACTGGGGAGATTCCTTGGGGAAGAAGTCGGAGGATTGGTTCAAATGACCTGCAGAGAAATATCACAGAAATTGTTAAAAATCTAACAGCAGCTTCTTCCAGCACCTTTGCCACTCACAGCAACACGAACTCCCCTCACAGATGTCACAGCAGTAAATCCACTGGCACGCCAAAGATTCTGGCACCAAGGCTGTGTCCCAGGGCAGTGCTGGCAGGATTACAGGCCCCACTTCAGCACAGACACTGCCCAGATAAATAGCTACAAGGAGGGTGACTGAGCCCCAGAACTGATTTCCATCCTCCATCAGTCATTTCCTCACAAAGCTGAAACAGCAGCACTGGTCAATCTGTAGAGGGGACAAAGCCAAGCTCCACCCAGGCACAACTGGCTGCACACATGCAAGGGTTGATGTGTTTCTTCTGACAACAATAACGTGTCTATACTGTGGAACAGGCACCGGAATGCCAGTTCTGGATCCCTGCTGAGCACTAAGGGAATACTGAGTACCTGATAGCCTCTTACAGGAAGGGTTTTGGACGATCCCAGCAGTTGTATTAACGTGTGAAGGGATTTCTGGGAACTGTGTCTAAATATGCCCCAGAGAGTGAAAGCTACAGCACATGACTTTGGAGAGCAAACACTTAAAGAGCTGCAAAGGACAGCAATCTCAGAGCAAGATGCTTAGGCAGTCCCAGACAGATCATGGGACTCCTGAGCTACTCCATTTCACCAGAAACATGCAGGAGAAATTCTGTCGGATCCCAAACTTCTCCCACAGGAATTGCCAGGTAAGGTGTCTAATTTCAGCAGCTTGTGTAACATATTTCAAAGGAAGATGTAAAACCCTCACTAAAGAATATCCCTGATGTTCCTCCCTCTCTTTGAACAGAGCCTCCATGCTGGGCTGTATCTCTTCCCTTCTCTCTGTTAGTGTTGGCTCCCTGTGACAATCCTGGCTCCTGGGTGAAACTTTTCCTACTCCTCACCTGTAATTGATATTTCTCCTGGAGTTGATATCCCAGCTCTGGATGGCTGCCCACATCCTCTTCACAACTTCCTCTCGGTGGGGCTCACAGATCCCCCAGGCCTCTGGCCCATCGAACATGATATGGGAGAGCACTCCACAGGCGTTATAGGACACCTCGATCCCATCGGCTTTGCTCTCCAGCAGGTTGCTGCCAAGGGAGATGAGATCACTTAGAGCTGCTGAAGCAGCAAAGGTTTAGGAGCCTCCAGGCCCAGCTGATGAGCCAGGCTCTCACCTGAACACACTGATGAACTGCGAGGTCATGAGCTGAGGGCGGAGCTCCTTCACCTCTGCCACGTTGCCCAGGAGGCCCAGCATGTTGCGGTGCAGCTCCTGTTTCTCTGGGAATTCCTGGAAGAGCAAAGGACAGGATTATACACAGGTAGGGCCACAGTGATGCCAAGAACAAGCAACCCTGGGGAAAAGCTGCATAGTGCATCTGGAAGGGCTGAGAATTTTTGGGAAGTTGGGAATGGCTCCTTAGCAGGAGCTAAATGGGATCCTGAAAGCTAAAGGTACATGTGAAGTGGGAGAGTTGAGAGCAGGGCCCTGTGTTCACTGCTGCTCTGCTCAGGGGAACTGAGCAAAGCTGGGGAAAGAGGAAGATGTGTCGAGCTCCTCTGTCCTACTGCAAGGGTGTGAGAAGGAAGAACACGGACAAGCTGTTACTTTTCCGTTTGTGCAATGCAGGAAGCACTGCTTGGAGAGGAGCAGGGCCAGGAATCCTGCCCAGGCACCCCCATCTCCCCTGCTCGTTCAGCCTCTCCCCAGAGCCAATCCCACTTACTTTCAAGCACTCCAAGAACAGTTTCATGCCGCTGTAGTTAAGGAACATCTCACAGTTATCTGGGGTCTCATCAGTGATGTTCCACAGGGCACTCCAGGAGAACTCCATCACCTGATCACACTAGAGAGTCAAAGACAGGACAGAATCAGAGCTTCTCCAATATGGAGCCTGATGCAGACCAACCACTTGTTTCCTCTCTGGCATCACCCTAGATGGCTCCAGAGGTAAGAAAACCTTGTTATTCACTTTCAACTTGTCAGCAAGTGGGTTTTTTTGTTTAATATTTTTGCTTCCCTGTCACATTCCCCTGCCCTCAGCCTGGGACAAGAAGTTCTGCAGCGTCAGCTGAGATGTCTTGTGTTTGTTAGAGAAGCTGAGCTGGCACTCTGGGCTGATCTCCAGGTTTAAGTCAGACTGAAGAGAAAATACTCTGTGTATGTGTTTTTTTGGGGCAACACTCACCGTTTTATCAGCCAACTTCTTCTGAATCAGCTTTAGCATTGTCTGTGGGCAAAGGAAGAGGAAGAGTGAGAAACAGTTCAGAAATCACGGAGCTAAAACTTAACTGATGTGGTCCTGCAGTGGCCAATTTTCAGGCATATTCAATTTTGATCCTTTGTGGAGAACCTACTTGGTACCTCTTTCTATAACCCACTGGGACTGGGTTATGTGCAAAGTTGCAGGTATTTACAGAGCTGAACTGTGCCAGTCCCTGAACTGTTGAGTTTGTAGCTGAGTCAGTTTTGATCTGTATGAGAAGGTCTGGGATGTGGCATAACTGCCCCAGAGCACTGGCCTCTGCAGCTCTTGGAAAAGCTGAGGGATGTGGGTTGACGTGAGTTGGGAAGCTGATGCAAGCTTGGGGAGAAGGAGAAGGAGTGAATCACAAGGTGGTACCAGCTGTGGAAATGACACGATGTGGTGAGGAGGTACAGCCTGTACAAGCTCATGGTGCTTCCCTGGCCTCCCAGCCAGCCTGTCTCTGGGATCATGACTTCCAGTGCTGGGAAGCAACTAAAGGGGGCTCCAGGAAGGGTTAGCACTGCTGGGACACTGCTTCCCTCCTGTGATATTGTGAGGTTGGATCACAGCTGGCTGCGTTTGGTGGGTGGCTGCAAGGGAAGCGTGCTGGGCTGGGTTAAGGGTAAGCAGACACCCTGGGACCATACCAACCATGACAAACCCCATCTTGCCCACAGCTTCTTTGTGGTCGTTGTCCACCTGGCAGACCAGGGCATTGCAGAGGTGCACGGCGATGCGCTGGATGGACTCGTCCTGCCGGCTCTGGTTGAGGATGTTGAGCAGCAGCTCGTTGACCCTCCGGTACTGGAATTCCAGCTCCTCGGGAATGCTGAAGTTACACAGTGTCAGGCAGCAGTTCCGCTGCACCTGGGCCAGAAGGAGGCAAACGCTGGGCCAGGTGGCTACAAAACCACAGAGCCCATCACTTCATGTTTCTGTTCTGCTTTGTACTGAATCCATCTTCTTGCCTCACTGCAACTACTAAAATTTCAGTTACCCTTCTATTTAGTGCTGTGCTTTAGCCACGCTCTGTCAGTACCATCTCTCTCTCTGTCACTCCAGTCTCTCAAAGCCACACAATTATCCAGGGCCCACTGCTTTCCAAGCCAGTCCTCACTGCCTGCAAGCTCAGCTGGCTTCCAGTCCAGAGATTTGGGATGTTCCTTTCCATGGACTCAATATCCCCAGTGCCTGCACCCGTCTGACACCACAGTCAGTGCACAGCCTTTGGCCACTATCCATGGAAAAAAAGGAGCCTTGCTATCATCACTTTCTCCCCTTTTTTTCTGGAGAATATCACAGGGATAAGGAACACCCTGCATGTAATTTCCATCACTGAGTGAAGGCAAGGAGCAGACCTGGGCAATCCCTTCTCTGCCTTGACTCATTCCCTGGAGGCTGAGGAGACCCAAATGCTGACACCAGGCTAAAGAGACAGGATAAGGGAAGGAGGGAGCTGAAGGAGCCTGGTCTGCTCTTACTGTGACCTCCTGGTAGGACTCCATGCCGTTGAGCACCACCTGGATGACCTGGCGCCGCAGCTTCACGCTCTGCTCCATGCGGTACTCGGAGTTGGTCAGGTAGAACAGCGCCGCGCTGCCTGTCACCTGGATGTTTTTGTCATCCTTGTGGCACTTGAGGGCTGTGATCACCAGCTGTGGAGAAGCAACGTGGAGCTTGAGTGCCACTGACTGGCTGTGGAGTCTTGGAGTGACTGTTGAATGCCCGTGAGGAATGCGCGGCCCGGGCGTTGCGGGAACGCACTTACGAAATGAAGGGGAACCAGTTCCACTGCACTGCTGGAACGTTCTCCAGAATGGTTTCCCAGGGTGAAAAAAAGGACCGGGACCAGAAAATTTCTCTTGTGAGGGAGAGGCAAAGGCTCACCTGCAGGGCTCTCAGCAGCTGGCTGCAGCGCTCGATGCGGGCGATGTCGAACAGGAGGTTGATGGCGCGGGACGTGATCTCCGGCCGGTGCTCCGTGTAAGCCTCGATGGCATTCAGGACTTGCTCTTCGTTCTTGTCTCCACTCACCTGGCACAGGGGAACAAAAACAGTCAGGGAGGAAATTACAGAGGAGGAGGAGGCAGATTTCCTGCATTATCAACTAGGTATTGAAAGGTCAGAGCTCAGTTGTCACAACCGAGCCCCGAAGAACTCCCCTCTACTGGCAGCCAGTAATTCTCACATTCTTTCAACTCCTACCAGGCTCCCACTGCCCACATTCCTGCAGCCCCCTTACCTTGTAGGCTGGAATATGTGTCAGGCGGCAGAGGGACGTTTCAAAAAGGCCCAGGAACTGGAGTGGCCGTTTGAGCCCCCTGAAGGGAGCAATGCTGCTCTTTGCTGGCTCAATGCTGGGGGAAAAGAACAAGAGATTGTTCATAGCGGTACCGTGTTTGTTCAGGTGTCAGCCCTCCATTCACCCTGCACTGCCTCCTGACCAGAGTGATGATGGCTACACTTCACTTTACACCAGCCAGCTGCTCCTGAACTTAACTCTAGAAATTCATCCCAGGTGATCCTGAGTGATGGGTGAAGGTGTTGAACAGAACTGAATAGCAGTAAGAAGAATCCATGCAGACAGACTGCAGCTTTCCCAGGTAGAATTTGTCCTGGAAATTCACTGGTTAGAGTGAACATTTCCTCTTAAAGGGCTGTGGATTTCACTGTGGATCCAAAGTATTTGCAAAGTGGGCTGCATGTTCATCTGAACTAAATCTGCTTCTGGGAGCAAGCAGGAACACTGTCTTTGCTGCCATGTTCCTTATTGACCAAGAGCCAGTGCATTTGCACCAGCTCTGGAGAAAAGGAGCCACCACTGTCCCACTTATTTGCTTCTGTTCAGTAAGTGCTTCATAGGAGGGCAGAGTTCTTGGCTGAGCTGGGAAACCAACCCTCTAGCTATGCCTCTCCCAGGATTTGCAAGGGTTGATCTGCCCAGTACCCAGGTCAAATCTGAAATCAGGCCTTTAGATTCCAAGCTGCTAAAACATTGAGCCCTCCTGTGAGTACACTGACTCAGTGTGTAAATGTTCTGTCTCAACAGAGCCTGGATTTCGCTGAGGGTAAGAATGTTCTGTGTAGGAAGCATGTACAGAGCTTTGGAGTCCTTTCAGAAATAATCCTGCAGGAGATCCCTGGGAGAATGTGTGTGGAAAAGAACTGAAATCCTTCAGAGCTGTACGGCAGGCAGATGGGATGATTCCTTTATTACTCTTTACAAGTCCTTACATGTGTTGCATACAGCAACAGCAGCTGATTCTCACACCAGTCCTCACTGGCAGGGGAAACTGGGAAGAGCTGTATCCTGCTTTTTAGTATTAGACCTACAGAATTTGGGAACTGCTCTCAAAGCAGACCTCAGTCACTGCTGTCCCCATACCTTGTCTGGCCCATCTTCTCCTCCATGCTGGGGATGGTGCAGTTCTCCAGCATGGTGTGCCCTGAGATGTCGAGCGAGCTGAGGTTCACCAGGTTCTCCACAAACAGGTTCAGAACCCGCCGGGTCAGCTTGAACTTGTAATAACTGGACAGATGGTCTCGGGAGATATCCAAGTGCCTGCAGGTGACAGAGAGCATCTCAGAGCCTGGAGAGCATCAGCTGGGGCTTCTGCCTCTCTCTACCAGAGGAAAAGGACAAGCAAATGTGATTAGTATTTATTATTATTTCCTTCCCAAGGTACAGGAATGTGGTTCTGTAGGCTCTGGCAGCAGCAGGCCCTGTGTGTAACCAAAGCACACAGATATCAGGTAGAGGTGTACCTGGAACAGAGCACAGTGAATCATCTGGCCACACAGCACAAAGCAAATGGCTCCAGGCTCAGGAAATGCCTTTCCCAAGCTCCATCACAGCAGCCACCTGAGCATTTCTGCCTGGAGATTAAGATGCACCAGAGGATCTTTGCATCCCCAGAAACGTATCTTGCCTCATCTCCCAAATTAGGTTACACAAGGTTTTGTCTGCTTCCCCAATCTTCTAATTTTTCCACCTCAGGCTAGTACTCTGTCCTGATTTCTTCCAGGTGTTTAAATGCTTAAGCTTTGGGGAAATCCTGCTGCTGTGGGAGTGGTGGGACAAACAGACCCACATGGTGTGCAGGTGGGGTCCCTTACAGGGCAGGGGATAAGATCCTTGAGAGAGACTTTTCTAAACTTCCTGACACTGGAGACAGCATCTCACTCACAAAAGTGTCTTCTACCTGTTGCAGAGCAGGTTTCATTGCAAGTCACTAGAAGTTAAAGTACTTAGATTTAGAAAATGTTATCCAGGATGTTCCCTGGGACTCCAGAGTGTATGTTAATGTGCCTGAAGTCAAGGGAGATGATGCTAAAGCCATTGCAAAGTATCCTTCCTATGAATAGTAAGGCCTTTCTCCTTGGTTTGGGAAGTCCTGGATTCCTTTCCCAACACCACTGTGAGGTTTGAATAGCAATTGTCTCAGCTCTGGTTCAGGAAGTTGTTTCATTGTCAACACTCTTGGGTCAGAAGCACTCATTTGTTGACACTGCTTGTTCCCTTGGTTGCCCCATCCATGGGGCACAGCCAGGAGACAGCCTGAGCTCAGAGCCTTTCCTAGTTTTATCTCAGAGCCAGGCTTAAGCTTTGTAAATCCCTGTCTGATGAATGGTTTGAAGGGCTGAGTTTTCTGCTAAGTGGTGTCTTTTCACAAGTGAAATTCAAGCTGGCTTTAGACGTGTCAGACATGTGCAGTGAGTCAATGAGTGAGCCTGTTCACAGGAAGGTTCATAACCTGAACCCAGCAGGTTATAAGGTTAGAGGCACCCAGAGGTGCCTCTCTGTTAGCAGGCAACTAGATCATTCCTAAGAGACCTTTTCCTATCAGTGGGAAAAGGACAGACAAGGAAGAACAGATCTGACCTGAGCTTGCGGAGCTGTGCGATCACTTGGATGTGCTCCTCTGACAGGTCCATGTTGTAAAGCACTAAGGAAACCAGAGTGTCCTTCCACTGGGTGAGGAATCCCACGTCATTGAGCTGGATCCCAGAGAGATCCAGAGCTGCCAGGGAGGCCAGAGGCCGCAGCAGGCTCTCCACATTCACCCCCTCGATCAGGCGGCCCAGGTTCAGGAAGCGCAGGCGGCTGAAGCCTTCGAAGGTAAAGTCCTTGACCAAGACCTGGCGGGTGGGGTTCACCAGACAGTCATCCTCACACCCCCCGGGGTTCTCCTCCTCGTAGAAGATATTGCAGCAGCCAAAGAGGCTCAGGGAGATCAGTGTGTGGCTGAAGCTCACCAAGGTTTGCAGGCTCTTAGCTGTCAGCTTCTCACAGTTAGTCAGGTAGAGCTCAACGAGGTCCTGGGAAAAGGGAAATCAAGGTTAGAGATATTTAAGGTAAAGTGCTCACCCTGTTTGCTCCACACCTCCCACTGGGACAGCCTGAGACCACATATCACCAGTCCCCATCCCATTCCCTGCAATGGCTCTGGGAGCTGAGAAGGGGAGAAGCTGATGTTATTCCTAAAGTGGAGGATGGAGCCTTGGGAATCTGTGTGTCTGGGATTCCCGCTGTGCCCAGGCAGCGATGCTGTGACGTGACAGCTGTCAGTGCAACAGCACCTGCTTCCTGATGGCCTCCAGGTCCTGGTCCTGCACAATCTGTTCCCGCAGGTGGATCCGAGCCAGCCTGGTGCTCCGTGGGTCTGAGAAGAGGGTGAAGAAGCTTTCATGGGGCTCGAAGATGCTGTCTGTCTTCACCAGCTCCACGTACCTGTGTGGGGCAATGGCATTAGCACAGCACGGCAGAGGCTCAGCTACAGCTCTGGCACCTGCACTGGTGACACGGGAACGTGACACCGACCCCCTCCTGCTCACCCAGGTCAGCTCTGGGGTTGCTGCCTCTCCTGGCACTGAGCTAATCCTCAGGGAAACCTCGGGCAAGGTTTTTTGTGTGTGTGAGCAAACTGAATTCTGGCAAGCACAGACTCCAGGAATGTTTTTCCCTAGCTGTTTAAACTTAGTAATTTGATTTTTTTTAAATTGTTTCAGAAAATTAGCTGGCCGGAGTTCTCTGCCAGACTTTGTGGGCACAAGTTCAGCCAAGAGAGACGGTGACGGCCAAATGATATAAATCCCTGGAAACAGGTTGCTTTGTAAAGCTGTGGGAGCAGCAGCTTTAAAATTTAACATCTGTTAGCACTTTGCACTCTTTATTTCTCTGCTTGGAAAGAGAGCTGTGAAGCTTCAGTGGTGGGAAAGGGGAAGGCTCCTTTGTTGCTTACTGATTGTGAAGCAGAGAGTGTTTCACTCTGGGTTTACCCTTTTGATTTCCATTTTAAGAGGACTTTGTTCAGCTCTATCTGACTAACTTGGAAAGGGTGATATCCACAGAAATTAGAGTGATATACAACACTGCAATAACCCTGGGAACACTTCCTCCTGAAGTGAATGCAATCCCTTATTGCCAAGATGAAGATCAACTGGAAAAACAGCCCTATGCTTTCTTCCCCTTTCATTCCTTTTTGGAGAACTCCACACCCCTTTCCCTGAGCTCCCAGCTCCTCAAACCGGGCAAAGCTTCCCAAAGCCAGGCCCCAAACGTACTCGTTGACGAGTTTGTCGCAGATCTCGCTGGGCAGGAAGATGTCGGGGTGGAGCCGCAGCGTTTCGTTGTCCAGGAGGTAGCAGAGGGTCCCCTCCAGGTTGCGAAGGCAGAAGTCGGTGCACAGGGTCATCAGCGACTCGGGGCTGTCGGATGCCATCCTGGGGGGAGTTGTGGGAAGGGGAAGAGCAGGAGGAAGCTTTTGATTCAGGAGATCCTTTCCTCAGCTGAAGTTCCGGGCTGGATTTACAGGGACATGGGGCCAGCTGGAAGCAGAGGGGAGAAGAGATGCCTTGAGAAAGGCACAAATCCAAGCATCCCGACCCTGCAGGATGTTGGGAGTTGTGTTTACAACCCCACACCTCAAAAGACCCACAGCAGTTTGGCCTCTCTGGCAGAGTGACCGTCATTCCTTGGTATCCCCACCCCCAGGGATGAGTTAATGTGAAACATGTTCGGGAATGAGGCTGCCCAGCCAAGTGTTTCCTCCTGGCAGGTTATCTGGTGACAAAGGCCAGCGGAAGGGGAAGTGGCAGAAGCCACATTGCTTGGTTTCCTTCAGAGTGGGTTGGATAAACCAGCAGGACATTTGCTGCCCAGATAATCCTCTGTGTGACCCTGGTGGGATCAGGTGACTCCGCATCTCCTGCCTGGAATTCTGTTCACCACCAAGGCAAGTTCCCTTTTCAAGCTGAATGTTCCCCTGTAGTGCCAAGGCAGAAGCTTCATGAAAGTCCTTGATCTGGACTGTGAATTGGATCAGAAGCCAGAGGGAAACACATGGACTGGTCTGGGATCCCTCTGAGTGCAGTGGAAGGCAACGTTTATGTGCTGGGCACCTCCCCTGGGGGAAGATATCCCTGCCTGTTTTCTTGTTTGACAAAACCTGACAGCTCTGGCACCAAGATTTGCTCACTGAAGCCCTGAGGTGTTTGTTTAGCAGAAATGTTACTCCAGGCACAAAAATATTGTTGAAATGTTTGTTTCTGATGTCAAACCCGTGTCTTATCTATCAGCCTGGCCCTGCTGGCAGCAAGAACATCAATGCTGTGGAGGCAGTTGCTGTTCTCTGTGCCCCAGCTGAGCAGCCAATGCTGGGGAAGTTGTTGCAAAATGTCTTTGCCCATATTGCATTTCTGATCTTTATGCTGCAGCTGCAAAGATCAGGACACTTCTCTGTGTCTCCCTAAAGCCTCTGCTGCTCTCCCTTTCCTCCACTCCTGCAGTAGCAGTACAAGACAGAAGAGTTTAAGTCCCTTTCTGGGCTCTCTCTGATCCCTCCCTGTCCTGCAGAAGGGATTTCCATGCAAACATGAAGGCAGCACAAGCTGGAACTCAAACCTCTTTTTTAACTTCCTCCTGCCTTTCATTAATTCCTTCTCTGTGTCCTGACCTACAACGTTCAGCAGGTTTTCCAGGGGGGGAACTCAGGTTCTGTCTCAAAAGGTAAAACCTCTCCAAGCTCTGAGTGCTGAGTATCTCCTCCCTGGCTGGGAGGTCCTGGCCAGGGGGATGCAGGTGGGAGGCAGCTGCCCTGTTCCTGCTTTGCAGATGAATCGGCCTCACCTCCAGAGCGAGTCCCTCTCGCGGATTTTGCCTCGAGCCCAAGAGGATCTTTCCAGAAAGGCAAGATCAACAGGAAGATCTGAACCAGTCGGGAAGCACGTTCTGCTGTCCCTACCAGTTCCCCCGTGCCATCAGACAGGAGGTCCCTGCAGCCAGTGTTCTTCCACTGTTTACTACCCATGGCCAGAGAACTCGAAAACAAATTCCCATTGACAATCCATTGTCACGTGCAGCTGGAAACGGCCAGTGCTTGGGACTTGTCCAAGCAGCTCAGAGCACCAGAGGGCAAGGACTGCCTTCCTGTGGCTCTGCCCAGCCTCTGTTCCCTCTCTGCTGAGACCAGCACAATGCAGCTGGTTGATCCCAGCCCCGGAGAAATCAGCTGCCCTTTAACTTCTGAGCTCCCCGTGATCCACCGACACAATCCCAGACAGAAGCTCAACAGAAAGAAGAGTGGGTAAGCTGTTCCAGGGAAAGAAGACCAAAGAAAAGCTTTCACCCTCATGATTTATTATGGATATCTGAGCAGCTGCTGTGACCTTTAGTCCAGGACATGACACAAGCTGGGCTCTCCCTCCTCACATGGACCCAAGAGGTGATGTGGGCAGCTGCCCTGATCAATATTGTCTCCAGTTATAACCCTGGGGTGTGATACAAAGAGACAAACTGGAGATGTTGATAAATGACTAACATCTGTCTGATTGTTATCCCCAAGCAGCTTTCCACAGGATCAAGCTGCCCAGTGACAGCCACCAGCACCTTCCAAGGATCGGCAACGAGCTGCCGGGTACATCTCCCAGCTTTGGAAGAATCAGAGACAGACAAGCGAAAGATGCTGAAAATTCAAGAGCACCAACTGCAAAGTGACCAGAACTACAGTGCCAATATTTATTTCTCTAACAGATTTGCCTCCATCTCGGTGCACGAAGGAATCGAGTCCCTCAGAGCTGCAGGAGCAGGCACACAAAAGCCATTTCCACGGGCACACAAAAACCATTTCCATGGGCACAAAGCTCCCTCCCACCATCCACAGGCCCCAAACCAGCCCCAGCACAGGCAGCTCCACTCACCCCTTCAGCAGGTCACCCCAGTCTCTTTGCAAACACTGCCTATCTGCAGGCTGCACCTGAACGGTGACAGCGTCCCAGGCTGCCCTGGCACGTGAGCTCCTGGCTCTCCTGGGGCTGCCGGTGCCAAGATCCTCTCCCCTGGACTCCAGACCGATCCTCTCTCCCAGCCTCTCTCCAGGCAGTGCCCGGAGCCAAGCCTGACTCACCCTGGCTCCGTGCCAACCACAGAACGTTTAGGCTGCTGCTGCTACAGAAATAACTGGCAAAGCTGACTTTTCCAGCACCAGGGACCCGTCCAAGGAGAGGGTAAACCCTGTGCACTGACATGAGTGATTGCAGCGGCTCCAGAATAATGAATGTCATGTAAATGCAGAGTCTGGCACAGGTTACGCTCCGAGGGGAAAGTGCGCTGTCATTTTTGCTGGCGTCCTGCAGCCGCAAATCACCGGGATTGTGTTAATGGATGGGCCGTGGATCTCGTGTGGGGAAACCCCATCCCTGCTCACACCGCAGGAAGAGAAGGAGGAGGAGGTTGAACTGTTCTGTAACCCAGCACAGCCTGCAATTCCCAAACTTGTAAGCCTGCCACGACCGACACCGTAAATGAGACAGCTCGGGGAACGCGTTGATCTTGGCATCTGCCTGCAGCAAAGATGTTCCTTCGGCTCCCTGAATTACATCACGGACTCCCATCCCCTAAGTCACCTTCCCAAGGGGACACCCGGGAGCCCCCGCTCACGGCTCCCTGGGCACGGGGGCTCCGCCGGCCCGCGATGGGCTCTGACAGCCCTGCGAGCGCTCGCAGCAGCCGCGGGCAGGGCTGGCCCCGAGCCCGAGCCCTGCTGAGCCCCCGACACGGGGCAACACACAGAGGTCACCCCGGGGGCTGCGCCGGCGCTGCTCCCGCGGCCCGAGGCGCTGCCCGGCGTGGCCCAGCAGTCCCGGGGAGGGGACGGGGCAGCGCCGGGGGGCTCCGCGCGGCGCTGCCGGGGGCGGCAGATTCTCCCCCCGGCCGGGCGGGCGGGCCCGGTGGCCGCGGGCCGGGCCGGGCAGGGGCCAGGCGGCACTCACCTGGCGCCATGGGGGGCTGGTGCCGCTGCCCGGGGCGGGCTCCGCGTCCTGCTCGGCCCCGCTCCCCCCGTGCGGCCTCCGCTGTCAACAAACCCGCCGTCACTTCCTCCCGCCGCGCCGGAAGCGCCGCCGCCTCCCCCGGAAACGCCGGCCGGGCCGGAACGCCCGCGCCGCGGGGGGACCCGCCGGGGACGGGCGCGACACCGTGACGTCACGCGGGCAAAGGCGCTGGCGTCACGGGGCGGGGCGGGGCGAGGCCTCCCCGGGGCCCGGCCCGGGGGTTCCCCGCTGAGGGTCCCTCAGCGTCCCCCTCACTGAGGGGCGCCATTGCCGCGGGCCGCCCTCACGGCTGACATCGGCACCGGGCCGGAGCGCAACCGCCCCGGGGGTCCCTCTGTGCTTGGCGGGGACCGGCAGGCCCTGCTGGCGCTTGGTACCTGTGGGGGACCCACAGGGTGTCCCCCAGCCCCGGCGGGCGCGGGGACACGGGACAGGGCAGGGTCAGGCCGGGGGAGCGCCCCTGAGGGGAGGAGGCGGGGCTTGGAGCCACACCCACGCGGGGGGCTGGGCTTGGGGAGCCGAGAAGGGCCTGGGCGTGGGCGGGACTTAGAGGAGAGGGGCGGGGTTTAGAGAGCAGGGAGAGGCTAAAGGGGGAGAAGGCGGAGCTTGATGCTGAGGGGGCGGAGCGGGGCTGAGCGCTCAGGGAGGTTGGGTAGAGGCGGAGCTTGGGGCCACGCCCGCTCTGAGGGGCAGGGTCAGCGCTCAGGAAAGGCGCCCTGAGGCGGGCGGGGCGGGGCTCAGCGAGTTGTGGGCGGGGCTTCGCTCCCTGTGGGGCCCCGGGGCGGGGTCGCGGGCGGGGCCGGTCCCGTTACACCCCCGGGCCCCGTTTCCAGCCGGAGCCTTTTCGCGGCGCGCGGGGAGGGGGCGCCGGGGCCGCCATGTCGCGGCTGCACCAGAGCAGGTTGGTGTCCGTGTCGGTGTTCGTGTCCGTGCCGGGGCTGGGCTCCCTCCCCTCCTTTCCCTGCCGGGGGGGCTCTGGGCAGTCGCGGCTCTGGGGGGTCGGGGTCTCTGGGGGCTCTGGCCGTGCCCATCCCAGCCTGCGGTGACGCGCGCGGCTCCGCTCCCCTCAGGATCGCGGACTTCCAGGAGGTGCTCGGCGAACCCACGGTGGCCCTGGCCAAGCTCCGCGAGCTCTGCTTCAGTGGTGAGTGCCCCCGGGGAGGGCTGGGTGGGGGGCTGGGGCTCGGCGGCGACCCCGGGATAGTGCAGTGTCCCCGTGGGACGCACCTGGATAACCCCGGGGTGGTTCGGTCTCCCCGTGGGACACACCTGGACGACCCCGGCGGCGCCCCTGGGGAAGCCTCGGGGGCAGAAGCGCTGCCAGGACGGGCTAACGTGGCTGTCTCTCTGCCTGGTGTCTGCAGGAATCCCCTTCGATGGTGGGCTGCGCTGCCTCTGCTGGAAGGTGGGTTTTGCCCCGGGTGCTTTTGCTTCTTGGGGTTGGTGAAAGGCACGTGGTGGTTTTTTGGGTGCTTGAAATCGTAAACAAACAATCAGTCGATTGGCTTTAAAAGCCACTCGAAGTCAGCAGGAATTCAGGGAGATCAGCACTTTGCATGCGAGCAGAGCCTCAGTTTTAAGCTGGGAGAGCATTTTGGTTGGGTTGGCTATTGATCAGTCCTGCAAATAGGTCTGTGTTGGGAACCAGTCCCTGAAATACTCCTGGCAAAGTGCTTGGCTTTCTGGAGAAAGCTCCCAGTATTTTCAGAGAGCCAGTTCTCACCCCTCTGTTTGGTTGGCTCATCCTACAGGTGTAACAGCTCATTTAACACTAATTCATGTGCCTCTCCCCTGTGCAGATACTCCTGAACTACCTCCCTTTAGAGAAAGCCTTATGGAGCTCTTTGCTGAAGAAACAGAGGTGAGGACATTGGTACTTTGTCCCTTTATTCCTAATTGATGTCTGCAGAGGAGGAGAATAATCCTTAAATAATTAAGTACCTTCATAAAACGGATTGTTCCTGTGTGGAATGTGCTGTTCTCTCAGCTGCCTGGTGGATTGACCCCTTCAACTGGACTCAGCTGAGGAGAAAGAGCAGGATGGGACAGAGAGATCTGTCTGTGAGCTCACCCTCACCTTATCTCCCTCATTACAAATTCCTCTTCTCTTCCTTAAGGGATCTCTACTCCCAGTTCCTGAAGGAGATGATTATCCAGCCTGGGATTGCCAAAGCCAACCTGGGTGTTTCAAGGGAAGACGTGACCTTAGAAGATCACGTGAGTGTTGTTAAGCTTCCATACTGCAGAAAATTCCTCCCAGCTCTAAACTTTTGTTCTGGAGTCTGGACCCCTGGGCTGCTCCTGGCTCTGTTCCCACTGTTGTTCCCGTTGCCAGCAGGAGGGAAAGTTCCCAGGTGCCAGCACTTGCGTCTTGGGAGCCTTCGGAGTGAACTACTGGCAAAGCACCAACAGCTCTGGAAAGGGCTGTTCCCAGCTGTGCACGTCCCTGCTCCCCCAGTTTCAGGCTCCCTGCCCAGGCTGGGGGTCCCCCAGGGAAAGGGAGAGGCTCCCAAGAGGCACCTGTAGCAAAGAGAGGCTCTCCTGGGAAGTCAGGGCCTCAGAATGGGTTAATCTGAGCAGAGGACAGAAAAGAGGCAGGAAAGTCAAGCTGGACTGTGTGGTGGAAGACAGGAGACTCACTTATTTCTAGTAGTGCTGTTGGCTTTTTTTTTTTTTAATGGACTATTTCCTGCATCCCTTGGCTTTTTGCTTCTCTGCAAGTGCTGTTAGGAGTGTTTGTGTGGGAGGAGGGGATGGAGTAACCGATCAGAAGAGACTGTAAAATGATCCAGCTGCCTCCATGACCACCGTGAACGTTCACTCCTCTCAGTGACCTGCCCTTCTGCTCCCTGGAGCCTTGGTGGTGTAAAACTGGTGTGTCTGCAAAACCACACAGCCAGGTCACAGTGATCTTTGAATCCCTTGGAATGTTGCTTTTGTTGTCTTGGTTAGTTGTTAACTTTGTGTGGATCTTGGTGTGGAGAGAGGTGGGGTGTGTGGAGGGGGGAGTTAAGTTTATCACGTTAGGAAACTGGTCAGATACAGGACAGGTTGTTCATGGAATGTGTGTTTCCTTTTTCCTGGGCACAGGGGTGGTGCTTAAACAGCCTTCTCAGAGCTGAGATAGAAGGGGATACTTGTAGCTCACAACCAGAACACCAACGTGCTGGGTGGGTGGGTAATTCTTATCTCAAGTCCAAAAACTATCTCCACTGTACAGGGTTGGAGCTGCAATCAGGAATCTCATTGACATGAGACAGGATACATGGGAACAAAACCGTTGAGAGAGGTGAAAAAAGCATTGAAAAAAACCCACAATCCTGATGTGCTAGGACTGTGCTGGTGCTTTGTGGCAGGGGGACAGCAAAAAAGGATTTTGATACCTGGGAAACACTCCTGTTCTGTTTCTGTTGTTTCTCCCTTCAGCCCCTCAATCCCAATCCAGACAGTCGATGGAACACCTACTTCAAGGATAACGAGGTGCTTCTGCAGATAGACAAAGATGTCAGGTGTGTGGGGCACAAGTTTCTGAACCCCAGGGGTTCTGGTGACGCACCGAACTTCGAAAACCGAGTTTAATATTAAACCAGGCGTGGGGCACGTCCTTCCTCCCTGTGCCTGATTTCCTTCTGTGTGCATCCCAGGAGGCTGTACCCTGACATGGCGTTTTTCCAGCGCCCCACGGACTATCCCTGCCTCCTGATCCTGGACCCCCAGAATGAGTTCGAGACGCTGCGCCGGCGGGTGGAACAGACCACACTCAAATCGCAGACGGTGGCGCGGAACCGCAGCGGGGTCACCAACGTGAGCCTGGGGCTGGGGCTGTCCTGGGGCAGGAAGGGGAAGGGTGTTCCTTCAGCTGTTCTCTCTTTCTGCTTGTGCAGTGACATTAAGGAAATACCCCAGCAGATACTGAGCATGTTGTAGAACCTGACGGACAGCAGGGAGTTAGAGCTGTGTTTAATTTTAAGGGTTGGTTTTTGGAGTCACAAGTTGACGTGTGCCCTCCTGTGTGGAAACAAAACACTGAAGAGTTAATTTACCATGAATTTATCGTGAGTTTACGTAGTCACTGAGCACTGGAGCTCAGAAAGCTGCAATTAGGAGAAGAGCTGGGTATCTGCTGCAATGTGTGTTGTCCTTTCCCTCTTTCCCGAGTGTCACAGCACATGTGCTGTTGGGGAAGGTGGTTTCTGTCACTACAGATCAATACCTTCCCTCATACTCCTGACAGAGTAGAACTGCTGTGGTTCCTTGCTGTGTGGGATCACGTGGTGCAATGATTCAGGGAAACTGCTGCACAGGCTGATTCATTCCTCAGGGACAGCAGCACCAGGACTCCACTGCCTGTGTGCTTCCCCTTTCTCTTGGTACAAACTGCCCAAATCCTCTGGGGGCCTGTGTGTGTTTAAAGCCAAGCTTGGCACTTGTGCTCAGTGAGCTGTGCCCGTTAGTTATCCTGATCCAGCTGTGCTTTTGGCCTTGTTTTCCAGGTGAGCTCCCCTCTTAAATCCACCCCCAGTTCTCTGAGCGAGTACGAGGTGCTGCCCAACGGCTGCGAAGCTCACTGGGAGGTGGTGGAGAGGATCCTGTTCATCTATGCCAAGCTAAATCCTGGCATAGCCTACGTCCAGGGCATGAATGAGATCGTGGGGCCCCTCTACTACACCTTTGCTACAGACCCCAACAGCGAGTGGAAAGGTGAGGGACCCTTTCCACTGGGGGGTTCTCTGCATGGCATGAGGAGTTTTGGGGATCAGAGCAAATTGGTAGGAGCTGAAGGGGCTGGGAGTGGTGAGGACATGGGAACTGAGGATTTCTGAGGGGTTTTTGTTTGTTGTCCTTGGATCTAAGTTGCACTGAATCCCTTTGGAAGCTCTTGTTTGCTCATCCTTATATATACATGGTAAGAAAAGAATGGGATGGGAGCACTTTGCCTGTCGCTTCTCCTTTGTGGAAGCTCTGAGGGTGTGTGCTGGGGGCTGATGTTCTTGGGCACAGATAACTGGTTTGTGACCTGATGTCATGGAGACCTTGTGTTGCACACAGGGCCTGCATCTGCAGTGGCCCTGTAGACATTTCTAGCTAAAAAACAAAGAAGGGAAAAAGTGGTTGTTGAGCCTTGTGCCAGACAGAGCAAGCCAAGATCTGGTGGGATCCACTCCTGGAATCCAGTACAGCAGTGACACTATGGAGCAGAACCAGTTCTAAAGCTGTGTTCCTGTGGCAGTGGTGCTTCCTCTCTTCCCTCATGACTTGACTTTCTCTCCCCAGAACATGCTGAAGCAGACACCTTTTTCTGCTTTACCAATCTGATGGCTGAAATTCGGGACAACTTCATCAAGAGCCTGGATGATTCTCAGTGTGGTATCACCTACAAGATGGAGAAGGTGTACTCCACCCTGAAGGAGAAAGATGTGGAGCTGTATCTGAAGCTGGTGAGGAGCCAGGTGTTTCTCTGGGTCTGGGGTGGGATGGGGGGAGTGGAGCTTAGCAGTGAATGTCAGTTTTGTTAAACTGTGCTTGAAGAGAGCAGAGAGGGGATATGAAGGCTTTGCCTGTGGGGCACAGACACTCTTATCTGTGAGCTGAAACAGCCTCTCCTTGGAGTGAGCCCAGGCTGAGCTGACACAGCAAAGCTTCCTCCTCTGCCTGGCTCTGGAAGCAAACAAGGGTTGTTGCACAGCTTCCAGCTGGGAGTCCTAAGGGACTTGGCCATGATCCTTGGTCACCTGTGTGGAGCTGGAGTGGTTATCAGGCAAAACACGGGGTTGCTGCAGAGTTGTTCAGAATTTGAGGCTGCAGAACAAAAAACACCTCCCCTTCCATGCACACACTTGTATTGCCACTGGCTGCCCTGACAGCACTGACTTAAACTGCATGGAGATCATTCTAAAGGAAAAGTGAAATCCAGTGAGCTGGACAATCCCACCCAGCCAGTTCTACCATTTTCCTTCATGCCAAAGGTCTGTGAGTGCCTTGGGTTTGCAGGAGTTTTGTCCAACATGGAGAAGGCAGCTTTTGTTACAACCATCTTCAGTCTTACAGCCCACTTGGTGTGGAAGTCCAAGGAGGATTTGGAAGGGAAAGCTGTCCTTGTCGCTTCAACCTTCACCAAATCACACTGAGATCTTTCTCTGTCTGTAAAAATCAGGATATATTTCTTTTATAGTCCAAAAGATGAGTTGTCAGCACAGTGACACAACCCACAGTGTTTGCTGGTGGGTGATGCAGTGGGGAGAAAATAAACTGCTTAGTGTTTGGCTGACAGGAAATGGTCTTGGCCATGCAGCAGCTGGTCCTTGAGGATGTCAGCAGGATCCTGAACTTGTTTGACCTTGATCTAAACTTATGGTCCCTTGGATTTAACATCAGAAAACAGGAAAGCTTCAGGCTGGAAGTGCTTACAGCACGTTTTACTCGCCGTCAGTGCGAACTCCGCTCCATCTTTGTTTCTCTTTTTGAATAGTAAACCTTTTGATAAATACAGGGCTTCTGGGAAGGAGAGGAAATCCTGACAAACAGTGCCTCTGCTAGCAGGGGAGGGCTGCAGCTTTGCAGATAAAATGCTCTTCAAATGGGAACTTTACAATTCCTTGGCAGGTTTAACGGAACTAACACGAACAGTGCCGTTAGGGAGAAAAGCTTCCTTTGCTCCATGGACTGAGGAGGATCTTCTGGCTCTGCTGTTGATGTGGAGCGTGGCTGCACTGAAAATCCCTCAGTCTGGAGAGCCTCCAAAGGAGGCAGAGGGTTTGCTGATGCTGTAGGAGGAGGAGCTGGGAGCTTAGAGCAGGGATGAGATGGGGGCTGGAGACATGGGGTGCATCTCTTGCCTGGAGGGAGCTGGCCAGGGGCAGGTATTCACTCTTTGCCTGGTGCCTGTCTGACAGCAAGAGCAGAACATCAAACCCCAGTTCTTTGCCTTCCGCTGGCTGACGCTGCTCTTGTCCCAAGAGTTCCTGCTGCCAGACGTGATCCGCATCTGGGACTCCCTCTTCGCCGACGACAAGCGCTTCGACTTCCTGCTGCTCGTCTGCTGTGCCATGCTGACGTAAGTGCACAGGGAGTCCTCCTGTCCTCCTCTTTCCCTCCTTTCCCTAAATCCACCGAGTCCTCTGTAGGTGTGGATTAAAGCATCTGGTGAGTAGTTACAGTCACTGTTCACACGGGTAGTGAAAGTGTTTTCAAAACAGCACAGCGTACTCTGTCTGCTTTTAAAGTTCCTCTGGAAGGAGTCAAAAGCAGCTGGAATAATTTCCATCTTTCAGACTCATCCGGGACCAGTTGCTGGAAGGAGACTTCACTCTGAACATGAGGCTGCTGCAGGTAAGGATTAAATGTAGTGGGCATAGGGAGCAGTTTGAAAGGTCTTAAAATAGTGCTATGAGAGAGGAGGATGGTACATGAGAGGGTAGGAGGGATGCCTGGCTCAAGAGAAGCACCACACTTCTGATGTCTGCATGCAGGAAGATCTGCAGGGATCTTACAGCACGCTCAGTAATGAAAGGGGGAATCTTTTGCTTGTGTACCCACTCTAGCCTCCAGAGAAATTATCACAGACTGGAGGTTTCTAATGTTTGTTTGGTCTGCAAAAAAAATTGAATAATTTTGAGCAAAAAAACCCCCCTATGTAACACTTAAATTTTTTGGCCAGAGGGTTTTGTTTCGTCCTGAGATCTGTGAGTGCTTGAGGCTGGAAATGCCTGCACTGCACAGTTGGGTGTCTCAGGCTCTGCCAGTTCCTGCTTTGGGCTGTGCAAGATACTGGCTTTGATAAGGCTCTCTAGCTTACTGTGCCCTTGGAGGACAAAGTAAAAGGGCAACAAACCTCCTTGAAGGGTGTTGAGGTTTGATGGGTTACAAACCAGGGAACTGTAGCTGTTGGGGGAGTAACTGAACCTGACAGTATTGTTATTGTAGGCCAAGAATGTTGCTGTCGAGGTTTGCTTTGCTGGAGTGGAACAGTCTGGATCAGGAGTGCTGGGTGGGCACTGAAATCCCTTTGTTTCTTTGCCACAGGATTATCCTATCTCCGATGTTCATCTGATTTTGAAGAAGGCAAAGGAACTTCAGGATTCCAAATAGTCCATGGGCCCAACACAAGGTGTGAGAGGAGCTGTGGCAGTGGATCCCAGGAGATGCCCCCGTGGAGTGTGGTGCACTAAAGCTCCTTGTGGTCCCTGCAGGACTTCAGGTTTTCTTTGGGCTGCTGGCCACCTTGAAGACTTCCCTCTACTCTATTTATTAGGTCAAGGACTGATTACTTCCCCATCTACTTGGGTCCTGCACTCCAGATTTTTCCAAGTCTCAAATGCCTCTTTGCTGCCAAAAGCAGTTCTTTGTATCTTTTTTTTTAATGACTTTAAGTTTGGAGAGAAAGAAACCTTCTGTCTGCACATACATCCCTGAAGGAGTGGACTCCTGTATCGTGGAAGTAACACTCAGAGTAACTTCTGATGGGGAAAGGACAGACTGAGTCCAGGGAATTTTGGTGGGTGAACATAGAAGGATCTTCCTCCTGTGAACAGAATGTATTCCACTGAAGTCACACATCCTGCCATTCAAGTAATTTCTGGATTGTCCTCCCTCGTGTCTGCACTTGGCCATCCCTGGGGTGTGTGAAGAGGAAGATGGAATCAGTTCCTGGTGATTGGACCCCTTTGCCTGGGAAAAGGACTTGGGAAGCTGAGATGGGAGGACACAGCTGGTGGCTTTGTGCACTCCAACTGCCTGAACCCAGAACTGCCTTATCCACGAGGTCCCCCTGAAATCAGGACTGGTGGTTTGAATCCCTGAGTGGAGTTCCGAGTCAAGCCTTACCACGCACAGCCTTAGAGCAGCATTGTGGCTGCAGGGGGGCCTCAGGCTGCTTTCCTGGCTCTGAACTGGAGCATATCCAGCCACAATCAGGATCCTGAAACACAAGAAACACACACCTGATCATGTGCAATGAGGACAGAAAGACAGATGTGTCGTTGCAGGCCCAGCACTGGGGTTTGCTGCCTCAGTGGCTCACATGATACTACCCTGCATTGAGCTCTGGTCACACTAACCTTGGTATTGTCTAAAGTACTTCTTGCCAGGAAGAGATGTGGTACAGTTCTGACCTTCAATAGGAGTCCTTTCCTGGCACAATCCAGCAGCTACACAAGAACCTGTCATTAGTGACTGCTGGGGCTGATCCACTGCTGTGTGCTGGTCCTGTTGGAGCAGCCCTGAGCTGGGCACTCGTTCCTCCTGAGACAAACCTGCTGCATTCAGATACAGTCGAGCAGGCTCGGGGGAGCATGGACTGAGACAAACTCCAGAGGGAACTGCTGACCTGCCCCAGTGTCGAGCTGAGCAGAAACCCTGAGCCTCAGAGGGAGACGGTGCCAGCACCCAGGTGCTTGGGTGGTGCAGGAGCTCTTTGTTGAACACTAATCCAGCGTGCTTTTCCCTTTCTTCCTGTGCTGGGCTGGCTCTCCTCTGCGTGGCTCTTTGACACTGCAGTCTGTGGTATTTATGGGTATTAATTTGTTAAAGGTCAGTCTTTGTAAGACCCACTTAAGCTGCTGCTGGCCTGGAGTCGCCCTGGCAGGAGGGATGTGGGCAGCCTTCAGCTATTCTTACTGGTGTCATTCCCTTCACTGAGGGCCAGTTCTTCACAGGCCGCTGTAAATCTCACAAAGGTGTGTGGGGAGACTGCAGGACAGGTTGGTGCATGTTCCTGTGTTCTTGTTGGCAATCCCAAGCAATCTCTGCCTCTTCAGAGGATGCTCGAGTCCCACAGGTGCAGCCAGGTGTTGCTGCTGTGTTGCAAGAGCAGCTGAAGGTTTGAAGCAATCTGTAATTAATACCAGTGGCAACACTATCCCTCTCTGCTGCAATCTTTTTTAGAGGGTATAGTTTTCCTCCAAGAAAAATGGGACAGGTAGACCAGGAGAGCTCTGTAATGTCTGCTCTAGTCACTGGATGGATGTTGTTCTTTCTGAGCTGTTCCAGGTGCTCCCATGGGCTCAGCTCCCAATGTACCTGCACTAGGGATGTTGTTGGCCAGACCTTGTGTGGCCAAACAGCCAACTGGGAGGTTCTCTCCGAGCATAGAACCAGAGGGTTCACACTCTGTGGCAGAATTGGACCTTCTCCAAACACTTCTGCCTCAGAACTGCTCTAAATGCTGCTGCAGCCCTCCCACTCCATGTACAAGCTCTGCTCTCACTCCCTGAATGTCTGGCCTGGGCTGTCCACTTTGAGTCCCCCTGGCAGGTGCAGGGGTTCCCTTATGATGGATTTTCTCACTGGTGTGATGGGACCATCCATGAGGTTTCCTGCTCTGAACAGCTGGAGAAGCAGCAGGCAGATCAGGATGAAAGCATTACTTGGAGGTGACCTTTGCACACTTTCAGAGTAGCTTTGTGCCCTGGGGATGAGCTGCCCGGGCAGGAGCTGGGCTGGAGCGTTGCACACACTGGGGGAAGGCACAGGGGACGTGCAGGTGGCTGTTGGGTGCAGGTGTCTCGCTGTCTTCTCCCTTCCTTGGTGTCCAAGGGCTCGTGTTATGGCACCTTCCCTTGAGGGGCGACAGTAAATGCCTCAGAAAGGAGTCTGCAGTGGTTTAAAGGGATGTGATGAGAGCTTTGGCTGCTGGAAGGGTTCTCTGGGATAAATTTTGTAGCCTTATCCAGACTATGGCTGCTAAATTGATTGAGTTCTTTGGGGAGAGCTTGGAACATCTTTGATAAACCCAGACAGGATTGGTTCCCACGTAAAAAGCTGCTTTATATTCCTCCTTTTTTTCCTCTTGTGTGGTAGCACTCCTGTCCTGCTACTGAAAGTTGACTTTTCAGTGACTGGGGACATTCATTTCTTTACTCCAACACTTTCTCCTTTCTTTAAGAGCAAGACTGAGGGGAGGAAAAAAAGTCTAATTACCAGCTTTTGAATCTCCTCACTAATCCCTTGGCTTCATTCCTCAGAGGCTTTTGGTGATTTATTTTTTATTGTTGAGATGAGATGATACTTAAATAGTGGTTCCTTTCTTGTGTGATCAAGTAACAACTACTGCAGCCTTGAGATGTTTCCACCTCTGCTTTCTTTCAATCCTGACCTGCTGAGGCAGGAGTTCTTTGGGGTAGCAAATGTGGACAGGACACTGTGCTGGATGTGGAGAGAGATGAGCCTTCCCTGGGGGAGGGACAGGTGTGCTCTACCTGCACCTCTCTGGAATTCAGCAAACTCTGGGGCTTCCTCAATCAGGTAGAAGCAAGAGGGTACTGGAGATCAAGTTGTTGTTGGTGGTCACTCAAAAGACTGATTTGTATGACCTAGACTAGAATTATTCACACTTTGGCAGTGAGTAGAATGAAGGCCAGAAGTTCCTTTAGGGGGCTGGGGTGTTTGGGGAAGCAGAGAATGTTTTCCCTTAAGGAATGTCAGTCTTTGTTTTAGCTGTTTAGGGCGCTCCTCTAAAACGCCCTTTTCCCAAGGAAGGGAACAGATAACACTTTTTTTTTCACCTTGCTTGGAAAGAATTGCCAGCACAGTGTGTAGTGAACATTTCATCACTCTAAAACTCCTTCTTTATGCTTCTTTTTAAACACTATAACTCTTCCTTAACCAAACGAGGTGACTTCGTGCAAACCTGTCCCGGTGCTGTGACCGGAGTTCGGGCTGCGGTGTCCATACTATGAGAACGGCTGAGCCGGGCCGTCCGAGCCTTGGGGCCGCAGCCATCTCCTCCTTCCCGAGGTGGTTTTGCTTTCCCTTCCCAAGGAACCGCGGGAGCGGTGCCTTTCCCCCAGGAACACCCGCGGGCGCTCTGGGCCGCGGTGTGAGCGCGGGTCTCGCCCCTCGCTGACCGCTGTTCTGTGTCCCGCTCCCCCCCCCCGCGCCGTCATTCCCGGTAAAGCCATTCCCGGTAAATCCTTTCCCGCTCCCGTCCCGGGATCGCGGTGTCCCCGCGCCGTGCGCGCGCTGCCTTAAAGCGGCGATGGCGCCGCCGCATCGCGGCCTCCCCCGGCGCAGCCCGGGCCGCTTTAAGGGCCGGGGGGGCGGTCCCCACCGGCACGGCCATGCTGCGGGCGCGCTGGGCGCTGCCGTTCGCGGTGGGCGCGGGGCTGGGGGCGGCCCTGGCCCCCCGGGACCGCCGGGATGCCCGCGATCCGCCGGGCGAGGCGGCCGAGGGGCTGCTGGCCCGGCTGCCCGTGCTGCCCGCCGTGGCAGCGGCCGCGGCCGGCCCGCCGGCCCCGCCGGGCTCGGTGCGCCCCGAGCTCAGCAAGTACGGGCTGCCCGGGCTGGCGCAGCTGCGGAGCCGCGAGTCCTACGTGCTGTGCTATGACCCGCGGAGCCGCAGCGCGCTCTGGGTCATCGAGCAGCTCAACCGCGACACGCTGAGCGGCGCCTCGGACCGCTCCGCCTGCGACTTCCAGGAGGACGACTCGGTGCACGAGTATCACCGCGCCACCAACGCCGACTACCGCGGCAGCGGCTTCGACCGCGGGCACCTGGCGGCGGCCGCCAACCACAAGTGGAGCCAGAAGGCCATGCGGGACACGTTCTACCTGAGCAACATCGCCCCGCAGGTACGGTCCGGAGCTGCCCCGCCCGAGGGCAGACGCGAGAAACCACCTGGGAGCGGCTTTGTGTTTGTCCCGCTGTGTTTGACCCCTCCGGGCAGAGAGGGGGCAAAGTCACCCGGAGGCGTTTCCTGCTGAGTTTACCAACTGCGAACGCACCTGGCACGTGCCTCTCAAGCCGTGAGAGATCCCGTTCAGAGCACTTAAACAGATGGACAGACACTTGCAAAAGTTGGGGGCTGAGCGATGGGTCCTGTCCTGGGTATGCAAACCAGGACCTCGCCGTGCGCAGCTTTCCCAAAGCAAAGGTGGTGGTCGAGATTCAGGATTTTATGATCTCTTCTGGAAAGTGCCTGGGGCACTGAGAGATGTGTTAACAGAAAAGGCAGGTGTGTTTCTCTGAACAGTGAGGAAATACCCCAGCAATTCACCACTGGTTGTGTTTCTAGAATCCTCACTTAAACCAGAATGCCTGGAATAACCTTGAGAAGTACTGCAGGAGCTTGGCAAAGCACAACAGGAATGTCTACGTCTGCACAGGACCCCTCTTCCTGCCCAGGTAAACACGAGGGCTGAGCTGGGATGGCACCTGAAGGGTGCATCGTGCTGGGAAAGGAAAACAGGATGAGGTGCTCCTGCCTGCTCAGTAGGTGAGGCCAGCTGTGCACAGAGGTTCTGTGGAAAGGTACTTTCTTAGGATCAGGATATAGTTTGTGCATTTTCTATCCAATTGATTATTTCATGAGTAAGGGTGGGTTTCTTAAGCTATAATATAACTAAGTTGCTTTTGTTTGCAGGCCTTAACAATTCAGTAATTACTAGATGATTAGATTAACAGATTGGACTGCAGACCCCATCCCTGCAGAATAAAGCTTCCAGGTTTTATTTCATGGACTAGCACTCTGCTTAAGGGCACGACTTTATTTGCAAAGATCTCCACTTAGTGCCAAAGAGCAGCTGTCTCATGTTGAGATCTCTTCAGCAGCAGGAAAAAGCTTGGAAAGGCTGTTCCAGAGAGCCAGCAGGGCTTGGGAGGAGCAGACCCAATGCCCAGCTCAGCCTGTGTCACGAAGCCTCTGCTGCTGTAGGGTGGGGGCTCACTTGGGGTGTTGGAGAGCTGAGGGGGTGGAGGTGGCACCAGACTGGGAGATAACCTGGGATGTTGCTGTTGGTGCAGGATGGAGGGCGATGGGAAGATGTATGTCAAGTACCAGGTGATTGGGAAGAACAACGTGGCCGTCCCCACCCACTTCTTCAAGGTGCTTATCTTGGAAAAGGAGAGTGGAGAGATCGAGCTGCGCTCGTATGTGATGCCCAACAGCCCCGTGGATGAGAAGATCCCCCTGGAACGGTTCCTGGTCCCCATCGAGAGCATCGAGAGAGCCTCGGGGCTGCTCTTTGTCCCAAACATCCTGAGGAGAACGAGTAACTTGAAAGCCATCACAGCTGGGAGCAAGAGTTGAACCCTGACTAAGCAAACCCAGGTATCCCCCCCCCGAGGAAGGGACTGACAGCAGCGACCCACAGAATCAGAGTTCCTTGTGCAATTTTAAATGTGGGAAGAATCAAATTAATGCTTCCCTCTACCCCTTGCCCTCTTTTGTGTAACAGCGAAACACAAAAAAGACACACAGCAGGTCTCCAGGGAAGTCCTGCAAAGACTCCTGGGCACCTGACACTGAAGCAGCTCTGTAGACTAGAATTTGTCCTAACCCACTGCTCCCCTGGAGTTCTGTGAGGCTCATTAAGGCACAGAAGGAAGTTACTAATTTTTGCTGTTTATCAGGGAAGGAGGGGAAGCAAGATGGGTGCAGTGGGAGGAGAGGAGGAGTTCCTGCCTTCCTGTGGCCGAAGGATTGTGTGATTGTTCTCTTTCAGGAGATGGTTTTAGCAGTAAAGCTTTGACCACCCACAGTATTGGTTGTTTCTTATCTGCTCTCACCAAAGCTCTGAATATCTCAGCAGGAGGAGGGGAGGACAGAGCCAACTTTTCCAGCTGCTTTCCTGTCTGAGCTCACTGTAGGCAGAGCTTAAGGCATCACAGATGGAGCCAAACTGTAACAAGCTGATGTGTTTTAGTGCCGAGGCCCAGCTGAAGCTCCAGCCCTTCCCGCTGTTGGGAAGGATGAAGCCGTGGAGTTGAAGGGGGGGCTCGGGAAGTCAGGCTGAGGCAAGAACAGCTTCTTGGCACAAGGATTATGCTCTGACTTCCTTTCAGTCTGAAAGCCACGTGGCTCCAGAGTCACTGAGCGTGCAGGACCTGTGCACTGTGAGTGCCCCTCCTCTGCATGAAGTCACACCTGGATCTGAGGCAGCTGAGGTTCCATACTGCTTTATTCCCACCTCAGATGTCAGAGTTGCTGTGACCCAGCCTGCTGCCAGGGCCATGCAGGCAGGAGGGCACAGACTTGCTCCCAGCAGCAGCTGAATTCCTGGCTGGGCAGCGCTGCCAGCTTTGGTCACGCTGAGCCTCAGCCCCGCCAGGCGCTCGGAGTGACCTGCCCAGCACCCCCTGTTCGAAGAGCCACCTCCTGAGTCCTCAGTGCCTGCCAAGGTCAGTGGTTTCCCTTCCCCTCAGCTGGCCCTGGTGTCTTCACAGCTTCTTGGATGTGGGGTCTGAGCGCGGACAGGGAGATCAGCAGCGCTTCCTGGAACAGAGCAGGGTCAGAGCTGCTGTGAGAGCACCAGGCAAAGCAGCTGCTCCCCGAGGGTCACTGTGGGGAGCCACTCGTGTCACTGCCACAGGCAGAAACCCAGCCCTGCCCTGGGCACACCCTGCACCGTCAGCCCCCACCTCTGTGCGGATGGTCCTGCTGCCCTGGCCAGGGCAGGTGTTCAGGTAGAAGTCAAACAAGGCGCTTGGGTCAGTGACCTCCAGGTTTGGATCCACATCAACCCCGGCTTCCAAGCCTTCAAGGCCTCCGAACACGATAAGGGCGTGCCTGGGGAGAGCACAGGGACAGGGTGAGGGGGCAGAATCTGCAAGAAGCAGGTTCCTTTCTTCTATTCAGGTGTCTGGGTCTGCTTTCCTGTGTGCTGCTGAGGCAGGGAGCTGTGTCCCCTGCTGGTGGTGCCCAGTGCAGCTGCCTCCCCACCAAAAGCCCCACAGCACTTGGCCAATGTGACAGTCCCTGCTACCAACTGCAGGGAAACAGGAAAGGAATTAGCCTTGACCTGGGATGCTTCCCCAGCTCCCAGAATAATGAGCCTTGGTGTAAAAGGGAGCAGCAGAGCACAGGAGGAAGCCTGTGGGGAAGTCCTGCACTTGGATCTAGGAGCATTCCAGCCTGGGACGACACCAAGGTTGCAGTGCAGCTCTGCTGCCTGCACCAGCCTCGCTGGGGGCTCTGAGAGGGGCCAAGCAGGTGGGACACGAACCTGAAGGAGGGGAGGGTGACCTGGTCCACGGAGCTGCCCCGCTCTGAGGTCCCAATGGAGAGATCGTAGCCTTCCTTGAACGGGCACTCGGAAAACACAGCACCTGGGAGCACAGTCTGGGGTTATTGCTGCAGTGCCCTCCCCTGTGTGCCTTCTAGGCAAGGTGAATTAGTGCCACTGGTGCCACTGATTCCTCTTTCCCACATAATTCCCTTGCTCTAGGAACCTCCCACACCCTTCTCAGCAGCAGCATCTCCTCCTCAAACCTCATAACAGAGGTCCAGTCAACCAGAACTCAGAAAGAGGATTTTTCAGGGCCCTTGAGCTCAAATGTCACTGCTAGCTCTGGTGGGAAGGAGTGGGATGTCGTTATCATGGAAACAGAGGAGAGCACCAGCTCATCTCCTGCTGCCGTGCAGCCATTTGGAGCAATGGTGAGTGGAGATACAGGGCAGACTCCTGATGGGTGACTGGCCCCTAAATTTGGATGCCAGAAGGCTGCTAACTGCCTGTATAAGCTGCCTTTAGGACAAGAGAGATTTCTATGAGAGTGATATTAATATGTTTAGCCAGTAGGCCTGAAATTGGTGGGCGAGCCCAGGCAGAGCAGTGAGGGAGAGCAGGGATCCCTGTCCGTACTCACTGAGGCAGGAGGCCAGGCGGACGCTGTACCCCCAGTACAGGCCCGACACCGTGCGCGGGTGCTGCGAGGACACCACGGTGCCTTTGTGCACTTTGGCTTCTGCAAGGGAAGCAAAGAGATGATCAACCCCTGCCATCTGCTGAGAACTGACCAGCAGTTTCTCCTGGGGTAGGGCACTGAGTTGGTGTACAGCTTGACCCTCCCTTTTTCCAGAATGTGAAAAGGGATTCTGGGAATTCTGTGAGCTCTGGAAAGCGTGCAGGTGTGTTTGGGGTGCTCACTGATGGTCAAAGAGCTGGTGGTTCTTCCCAGTTACCAAGGGAGGTGTGGTGAGGGTGTTACTAAACTGTGTGTGAAGGGAAGGTGTGGAACTGTCAGATACCTTCAAACCTGTGATATGGAAGGAGCAGCTCCTGCAGGTCTGATGTTTACAGATCCACTGGAGCCGTGGATTACCTGGATTCTGGGGCTCCTCCAGGCGCACGGTGACTCTCAGACCAGGGTTCAGCTGCTTGTCAATCTGCACCTCCTGCAGTGACAGTCACCATCATTGTCAGGCATTCTGGAAGTACTGGGGAAGGTGGGGAAGGAAGGGAACCCTCTGAGGAAATGGGGATCTGTTCCAGCCTGGAGCTGGAACGAGGAGCTCTGCCTGTGGCTCGGGGGCTTAGGCATCAGTCTGAGACTTATTGAAAGGTTCAGCTGCAGCAGCAAAGCTAAAATGTGCTGGAATGGGCAGGGCCTTCCAGGGGCTTGGGAAGCCACAAACATTGGAGAGCCATAAGGGAAAGGAGAGCAACGGCCTTAACCCCCCTGCCACTCCCCTGTGGCCTTCAGAAACCCAGCAGTGCCCACCCTGCCTGCTTCAGATCTGCCAGAGAGACAAGGGGGGTTGTTTTTGGGATCTGTGGGTAACAGACATACCTTCCTCATCCCACAGTTAACAAAAGAACCTCTGCCTGGCTTCAAGGGCCGGTCCAGCACGACGCCCTCCCGGTATTCCGAGTCCTCATCCACCCGCATGTGGTGGGGGCTGTCCAGGGGGTTGAGGAGCCCTGGAACAGCACAGAGAGAAGAGCTGCTGACAGGAGGACAGTCTAAGTGCTCTCCTGCCCCCTCCCTCTCTGTCCCAGAGCACCTCACTGGCTCGGTGATGTGGGGAACAGTTCCTGAGATCTGTGTGCCCCACACGGAATGAGCTCAGGAGGGACAGGGACAGCTGGGTCGTTACCTGCAAACTGCAGATCCTCATGTTTCGGAAAAAAGGTTTTCCTCAAGTACCTGTTACCAAAGAAGGCTGAACTGTGAAAAGATGTTTTTATGGAATCCAAGCCTCAATTCTAACCCTGTCCCGAGTGAGGGGAGCTGAGCACAGAGAAAAGCAGGCTTAGCTTCTTCAAATCCCTGATCTACCTCTAAGGTGTTGTGCAGGTTGTGTCCTGCATTCACTGCTCCTCTTTCAGTAAACTCTTGAACCAGACCAGTGAAACAATTAGATCCTGTGTTCCTGCATAATTATGAGATGCAATCAGAATTTGCCTGCTGCTCCCACAGCCTCTGGTGTGAGGTACCCAGGGCAGTTGGATCTCATGGACAGTCTGACCATGCTGGACTTACTGAGGGCACTCCAAGTACTGCAGGACCCGAGCCAGCTGCACACAAGCCTTGCCTTTCTTCCCAATTCCTTTAAAGTCTCCCTCCACGCTCCTGAAAGGAAAAGAAAGCAGCTTGAGGACTCAGTCTGAGGTTGGTCAGGTCTCCAGAAGACCAAGCTTTGCTTCTTAATCTGAAAATAGCGGCACAGCCCTTCTCTCCACCCCCTGTGAAAGGGCTGCTCGTCTTTGGAACTCTCTCCATAAGCCAGGTATCTTTCTCCGTTTTGTTTTGTGATCTTTGTGTATTGGCACAACCTGGCACTTGGATCCCACTGACTGGATGTTTCAGAATTGTAGGGCTTGGCCAGTCAGCACAAGGGCAGGTCCAAGTGAAAAGCTGAAGGACAGGAATTATTCTTCTAAAGGGATATAGGAATGTCCTGTCCCTCACAGCAAGGTTTAAGAGCACAGGAGAGCTCGACCTCCTCCTGCTTTGTCATCCTCGTGCTGGGATAAAACAATCCTGGTTGCCAGGGCTGTTCAGTCAAAATCTTTTCCCAGTGGTAGAGGGGTCCCTGTAATCCTGGCATTTGAGGGAGGTCCAAACACCTGCATGAGGTACACACGGTTCCTTCCTGGCCTCAGCTTTGGAAAAGGCTGAAGGAATTGAAAGCTGAGAGGAAACACTTTATGCAGAACAAAATGGTCCCTCCATAGAAGCACAGGATGGTTTGGGTTGGAAGGGACCTTAAAGCTCGTTCCACCCCCTGTCAGGGGCAGGGACACCTCCCACTATCCCAGGTTGCTCCAACCTGGCCTTGGACACTTCCAGGGATGGGGCAGCCACAGCTTCTCTGGGCAACCTGTGCCAGGGCCCTCCCACCCTCCCAGCAAAGAATTTCTTCCTAAAGTCCCATCTAAACGTGCTCTCTCTCAGTGTCCCACTTACTTCACGTCCTCTCCCTGCTCATCGAACACCACGATCTCGTCCACGCCGAAGATGGTGCAGGCACGGCCGATCTGCCCCGCCAGGTACGTGCGCAGCTCCGGGGACTGCGCGTTGTTCAGGATGGAGCCCGGCAGGGCCACGCTCAGCGTGTGGTGACGGCCTGGGGGGACAGAGAGAGCCATGAGAGAGAACCCCGGCTGGGGGAGCAGAGCCACGGCCTGACAGCTGATGCATCGCATCGCAGCTACTGTGGGAGGGGGAAACGCCCTCTGTTCCTCACATTTAATCCCAGATTGTCTCTTAGGAAGGGCCTCTCGTGCGGTGCTTGCTGTTGGTGCCTGTTTGGGCACGTGGACTGATCCACAGTGGATCTATGAAGTGTCACCTTCCCTATCACTGACTGGCTTTTAACAGCCCAGTTCTCCCAGCTTTTGCCACCCAGGTCTCCCCACCGGCTCGCAGCGGCATCACCTCTGTCTTCCTTCTGCTCCTCCTTCTTCTTGGCCTCCTGTTCTGCCAGCTCCCGCACCCGCTGCTTCTCCAGCTTCTTCAGCAGCTTCATCTCCTTCCACTTCTTCTTCTCCGCTTTCCCTGGGGCGGGGAACAGCGCCTGGCGTTAAACACCGGCTTCACCCTCCCGCAGCCCCCACGTGTGCCCAGCCTTGCTTACTCTCCTCCTTCCAGCGCCGCCAGTCCACCTTCCTGTCCTCGACCTGCGGGGAACGGAGCACGTTACCCCTCAGGGCCCTGTCTGGGACACCCCCCATCCTCGGGGTCCCCCCTGTCCCCCGGACACCCCCGTCCCCGGGGTCCCCCCGCCCCACCTGCGCTCCCCGGGGCCGCTTCCCCACGGCGCCCTCGGTGTCCGCCATCTTTTCCGCGCTCCCGGCCACGCCCCCCGCGCTGTGATTGGCTGGGGGCGCCGGCACCGCCCACGGGAGGCGGAGTCCCGGTGTCACGTGGGTCGTGCTTGAGCGCCCCGCGCGGGTGCGAAGCTAAGCCGGGACCGCCGCGTTCTGCGGGCGGATGGGTGACCTGATGGCCACCCGCGCGCGTGGGAACTTCTGTGGTTGGTGAGAGTTTCACTTTCGCGCTCGTTCAGTGGTGGGAGTGACGTTTTACATCCGAGTTCACGATTAGAAACGTTCTGAGTGGTTGGGATTGCAGCTGTTCCTTGAGGTTTCTTCTCCTTTTATTCTTTTGGAACACACGCCATCTGTGGATCTCTTTAAGTTGTGATTTTCTGGAGAGCTGTGCTTCATTCCCAAAATAATAATGAAGATTAAAAGCTGGCTATAGCCATTGGCAGGGTCTAGGGGAGTGTAGGTAAAATTTAGGCAGCCACAGCTGTACCTCTTTCACAAGCACTGCTTGTGTGTTGGCCAATGTGTAGGTCCCCCTGCCCCTTGCAGGTTGTGCCATGGCCTAGAGCAAGAGCTCCCACATGTGGGGGTGTTGCAATTAATCTTTCTAATCTCACGGTTCTTTCTCTGTTTCAGCAGTTGCAGCTCTCCCCATGTTTGGTAGGTAAATGGGTGCTAAAGGGCTTTCAGCAGCACCCACCCAGGCTGTGCGAGCAGGTGAGCCTGGCATGTGCCACCAGAGCGAGCAGGTTTGTTTGCCTCCCTTCCTCTGCTCCAGGCAGCATTGGCTCCCAGGGGATCAATCCCACCAGCTGCATCCCAGTATGGAAAACCTGTGGAGCTGCTCCCTGCCAGCCTGGGTGGGATGAGCAGCCCCCACCACAGGACACAGCACAGGTGTTGGTCTCTCCAGGAGAGCTGTGTCAGCCCTACAGTCAGTACAGAGACACTGACTCTTCCATGATTGCAGTAGTTCCACTTTAATAATTTAACTGCTACAAACACTCATGGCACAGTCTGGTGCACGTAACTCCTGCGTGGTTGATGATGATGATGATGATGATGATGTTTTACATTCTTATCCAGGCTGAAATCAAGACTGATGCAAGAATTCCCACTCAGAGGCTGCTCATGTTGCCCCACCAGCCCAGTGGGTGGGAGGCTGTGGGGGCACCAGCAGCAGGAGCAGCCTGAGGCCACAGTGCCCATCCATGTGCTCTGATCAAAGGCCTAAAGGTTTGGTTCTGCACCCTGGACGATGCTGCCAAGCCCTGACATTGCCCAGAGTAGTCTGGGGGTGCACAGGGAAGGTTTGGCAATAGCCATGACACTGATAAAAGCTGTTTCCTGGGGGAAACTGGTTATGGATTCTGTGGTCGCCACATCCCAGAACTGATCGGCAAAGTCTTTAAATGTAAGAAACATCAAATACTCTCAGTGCACACCAAGTTATTGTGACTGTCTCACAGTGGCTGAAAGTGTTCCCAGATCCAGGGCCTGGCAAACCTCACACCCATTTGTCTGACAGAAAATGGCTGAAAGCACAGAAAGTAAGAAGGTATCAAAGTTTGTAGACAGGTAAAGAGGAGGAAGAAGAACAGTCAGGGCAGGTGAGGACCAAAGGGGTCCTGGTTGTCTCTCTGGTGCACTCAGGAACTGGTTTTCTCCTTTTTCCATTTTTGCAATATGTCATTTGCTGCCTTCAGCGTAGCTTCATCCTAAACAAATACCACAGGTTTGGTCAGTGGCTTCCAGCCAAATCCCATTTTCCCTCAGCGCACTCACCATTCATACAAAAACCATATTCTCGTTCCTGAACGTGGCAAATGCTCTGTGTTGAGTGAGAGACAGGCACAGCCACCTCTGGGCAGGCCTGGCCACTGGGCAGCTAAACACACACCCAGAGACTCCCTGCCTTGACCAAGAAATGTAGGATGCTGCTGGGGCCAAGTTGGCCCCTGGTTTGGCTCACATGTCTGGAGGAGGGGTTGTTCCAACTGGAATGCCATGCTCAGGGTCCTATGCCCCCTCTGCACTTCTTCTTGGCATTTATCTCATTAAACCAACCCTGGCTGTTACTCCCAACTCCCCCTTCCTCGGTGCTGTCTCGTGGCTCACCTTTGCGAAGCAGAACCGGATGAAATTGGTGTAGTTGTTCTTGTGGGCCTCGCTGTAGAACGCGGAGAGCGGGATGGCAGCAAGGCCCTGGGGAGAAGGAAGCACCTGGAGCTGAGTTTCCTGCTCTGGGGCTGCCCTGCCCCAGTGTGGGTGAAGCCCTCCACTCAGATCCCCCCTGCCAGGAGCTACCAGGCCAGCAGTGGTGTCGTGCTCCGGCTCCCACTGGTGCAGCCAGCGGGGAGGGCACAAACCCACCCAGAGCAAGTGCAGCAGGAAGGGCCATTCACAGTTACCTTGTTCTTCACCATCCACTTTGTAAATCTGTAGTCATAGGGCTCATCCGCGTTGGGGACCTCGGGGACATCAGATTCTGCAGGACGAGCACAGCAGGACGGGGGCTGGGGCGGCTGCTGGGTGCCCCAAACCCACATCCTTGGAGCTTGGATGGGGGATGCACTGTCCATCCCTGCTTTGGTGGTGCTTTAGGCAGGTTCCTGCCCCTGCCAGGGGTACCCTCTGAGCTGTACCCCCCACTCAGCCCCCCTGGGCAGAGCTGCAGCTGACTCACTGAACTCGGAGATGTCGGCCACCAGGAAGTAGGTGCCCTCGGGGATGATGGGTTTCATGCCCACAGCGACCAGGCTCTGGATCAGCAAGTCTCTCTTCTGCTGTAGCGTCCTGGGCAGTTGGACAAAGTAGCTCTCTGGTTTGCCATAGAGTGTGAGCTCCCTCTGGAAACCCTGAGCCACGGCCTCCTGCAAGGAGAGAGCAGCCAGTGCCCAGTGGGAAGATGGCCAAGGCTTGTTCAGGAACTGAAGTCTTTGCTCTGATGCAATTCACAGGTGATTAAGGAACTCTGCCTCCAGCCCCTCCAAACAGCCCCTTAGATTTGCCAGTGCAAGGTAAGGAATAAACCCCCGTCAGGCTGGACTCCCCTTTCTCCCAGAATGGGGCAACTACAGAGAGAGGGGAAGGAGCCCCTTCAGGGCACCACAAATAACTCATTTGTGCCTTTCAGGTCAGCCATGGGCAAAAGGACCACATCTTGCCCCTGCTCCAGGAACGTCAGGGCCAGCTGCAGGGAGCTGCCTTACCTGGGCAATGGTGGCACAGTGGTACACCGAGTTCTGGTGCACGGTGCGCAGGTGCCGCAGCAGCCTGTCGGGCCCCACAGTCCAGCCCACCTGCAGCCAGGAGAGGAGGAGGAAGGTGTTAAGTCCCTGGGAACCTGCTCAGGCACCCCTTTATTTGCCCGTGCTGGTTTCATTGTATTTGTCAGACAGCTTTCCTAAAGCAGCTCTGGTGTTTCCAGACCTCGAGGCCGCAGCGTCCCCGGTGCCGTGCTGTGGCAAAGGGACAGGGATGGGGACACCATGAGGTGCCACACGGGGCATTCACCTTCCATCCAGTGGCACTGAAGGTCTTCCCAGCACTCCCGATGGTCACCGTGCGATCCCACATCCCTGGCAAGCTGGCTGGCAATGAAAGGAGAGGAAGCCCCAGGGCAGAGCTCAGTGTGCTCATTCCTGGCAGCTCTTTGCCCACCATAACCCATCGTGATCTTTTGTGTGTTCACAGCACATCTTTCACCTGGATGAGCCTCAAGGCAGCCAGGTTTCTCAAGAGCATCTCTTTTTAATTAAATATTTTCATGCTCGTGTGCTCAGCCCCAGGGGCTCCTGGAGATGCCAAGCACCATCACCCTGCATCAGGGTGATTGCACGTTACTGCAACCGGAAGAACAGGCCTCTGAAATCGTGTTGAAATGGATTTCCCGAAACCAGAGACACTCAGAAAGCTGTGGCTTTACAAAGCATGGGAAAAAAACCCTCAGTTTCGCTGGAGCCAAAGGGCTCTTCGCTCTGGCTCTGAAATCAGGGCTGAAACTGGAGTGCAAAACACCTCCAGCGAGGATTCGTGCCTAGTACAGCTGTGCATGCAAGGCAGCCCGTGGGATCTCCAGGGGACCCCAGTGACATCACCACTGCCTCCCCTGGGGAGGCCCCCAGGCCCAGCCAGGCCCGCTCCGCACCGATCCGGGTGTGCTCCCTGCCGTCGTAGACCAGCCACTCGTACACCTCGTCGCTGACGCACAGCACGTCGTGCTTTACACACAGCTCTGCTATGACCTGCAGCTCCCCACGGCTGAACACCTGCAGCGGGAAGGGAGGGGGGCAGGGATGCAGCAGGAGCCTGTCCCTGCCTGCCCGTGAAGGCTGAGCACCCTGACAGCACCATCACCCAGGTCAGGGAGGCAGGAGCTGGAAGGCCTAACAGGGCAAAGCCACTGCTGGGACAAAAGAAAAGGCTTAAAAACACCAGAAGAGAGAGCCCAGCATGTGGTGCCTTCAGAAAACCCATTTTTCTTGTGTGCAAGGAAGGTTGAGTCACTGCTGCACCCCAGCAGCTCCCAGGGCCACTCACAGCACGGCCAGAGTGTTACCTTGCCCAGAGGGTTGTTGGGTGAGTTCAGGACGATGGCTTTTGTCCTTTCACTGAATTTAGAAGCCAGTTCAGCTGGGTCCAATTGCCAGTCTGCACTAGACATCAATTTTCCATCTTTTGGAGCTTTCTAGAGAGAACAAAGGGAAATCTTGGTTTGCTTTGCTACCTGTGCATTTTGCTTACCACTTTCCTCCCCGCTCACTCTGCTCTGACTCTTCCCCCTCCACCCACTCACCGGTCTCATCGGGACAAACACGGGTGTCCCACCAGCCATTTTCACCATTGGCTCATAGCAGTCAAAGAAGGGCTCAATGATGATCACCTGGAAAAAAGGGACATGTCAGCACCCTCCTGGCCCTGCTCAGACCTTCCCTGATGGGTGCAGAGAGCAATGGGAGGGATATTTTAATCTCTGAATTACTGTAATTGAGAATCTGCAGTGCCTCTGGGCAGTGTCAGGGAGGAAAACCACCACTCAGGGCAAAAAGGGTTGTTTTGCCTTTTGCTGAAATGAGACTGTGCCCTGCAGCAGATAATTTTTTTCCCTTGGAAGTTCAGAAACTGGAGAATGGAGCTAAAACCGTCTCTGCTTCGGAAAAGGACAATGAAAACCGGCCTGCAGCTCGTGGCAGACCCACAGCCAGCAAGGGCTCTCCTTGGGGGAATGCTGATGGTGCAACAAGCCCAAATCTTGGGTTACCTCATCACCTTCATCCACGAAAGCCTGGAAGCAGCAGAAAAGGGCCTGGTATGCCCCCACAGTCACCATCACATTGGTCATGGGGTCCACCTCTCGTCCAAGCAGCTTCTCAAACAACTGGGCTAGAGCGGTCACCAGAGGAGGGTGTCCCTGGGGGGCGAGAGGAGGGTGGGAATTTGGTTGCAGAACCCTTGGAAGGGGCCTGGGCAGCCAAGCACCCCGTGGGGCATCTCCCAGCCTGGCTGCCTCAAACACCCTGGTAAAGCAGGGAGTTACAGCCCTGGGAGCAGGGGGCTTGGGGCGAGGCTGGATGTGTGTTTGGCCCCGAGCTTGGCCCTGTTTACTGCTGCCTGGGGAGGCCTGAAGCAGGCAGGGCTGAGGGGCAGGGAGGGGGTGCTGCTGAGGAGGGGGTGCTGCTGAGGAGGGGTCTGTGACGCACGAAGGCCCGGGTGTACTGGTGCAGCATGTGGTTCCCCCCGCTGAGGGCTCGCTTCAGTGCCTCCTGCAGGAACTCCGGTGCAGGGAAGTCAGGGAAGCCCTGGCCCAGGTTCACCTTGGAATAGGTAGCAGCCAGTTTGACAAACTCCACCCTGGAGAGAACAGAGGGGAGAGAAAAGCACTTACAGAGGGTCTGGGCAGCACGCTGGCACCAGCTGTGCTTGCAGCATCCCTTTGGAAGGGAGCGGGGTTGGGGTCCTTCCTGCAGGGCCATCCCACTGCTCACAGGTGGGCAGGGCCCAGCACAGGTCCTTTCAGACCTGCTGCAATTAAACCAAGGACGAGGCACTGCTGCACTGGGGGGTAGCTTTAATTTATTCTCCCAGGAAGCAGCTCCTGTGCTGTCTGGTGCGTGGTCATGGCCGAAGCCACTCAGACACATTCAGGGCAGGAGGTTTCCGAGCTCATACCAGCTCTGCAAAGTTTAGCAACCATACACTGTGAAGGCCTCTGCAGAGGGCAAGGCAGGCTGAACTTGCTGCTTGTCCCAAACAAGAGCCAGCTCATCAGCAGCCTGTAGGTTGTTTCAGTCTCTTCCTCGAGCTTTCCCAATCCCTGTGCTGTGCCTGGCAGGCTGGGAATGGCATCTGCAGCAGCCCTTCCCCTGCCTCTCTGCTTGCAGTGCCCCAGGGTGGGCTTGAAGCAGATGCCAGGCTACAGCCAGTGTGCTGCAACTTGGCTCAGGTTTGGGTGCCCCTGGCACCATTGGGGTGGATGGGTCAGAGGGAGGGTGATGCTCCGGCCTTTCTGCCCTCAGGGTGGTGCAAAACACCTGACACAGCATGAAGTGAGAGCCAGGGTAAACCAGATATTCTCTTAACTCACCAGATATTCTTATCTATTCCCTCTAGCCTCCGGGCTTGAACTGGCCTTGACATTTTTGCCTGCAAAGGGAGAGAGAGAGAGAGAGAGAAGGTGAGTTTGAAGCTTTCACTTGCCAGTGGGTCCAGGCACAAAGGGGCTGTGGCTCCCCAGGTGTGTTTTTCCCAACAAAAGGTGTGTCCTTTAGTTATTGCTCCATGGGCTGTTGCTGACTGACCATAGAGCAGTAACGCTGTTGCAGTGGTTTCTGTTTTCATTTACAAGTTTCGACAAGAACTGGGAAAAGAGGTGAACAAAAGAAGTGTTTGTACACTCACTGGGGAGCTGGCACAGCCTTAAACCTCATTATCAGTTGGGATAAATCATGGAGTCAAACAAGCTCAGCCAAGCTGTAACAGCCAGGCCAAGGACCCCAGATCTAAGGTTTTGCCTTCCATAACCTCTCCTGTCTTTCATTGGAGGGATCTCCTTACTCTCCACAAGCCACAATACCCCCTTTTCTTAGAATTACAAACTTTTTTATTCCACCCTGCTCCATAACTCAGAAGAAGTAGTTACTCCTTCGTCCTGCTGAAGTGTTTGGTGAAGGGACTTGCCCTAGATCCTAGAAAATATGCTGGGATTTGTATTTAAGGTTCATGTCAAAACCAGCACAGCACACAGGTCAGTCTGGTGTAGAGACCCCGAGGTCCTGTGTGCCTGACTGGTGTGCAATTTCCATGCACATTGTGGCTCAGGGGAGTGGGAAGAAAGACAGTAGGAAGCACTGAGTGCAAAATCCTCCTTCCAGCTGGGTAAGCACAGTGGGAGAAGTCAGATGGGCTCGATGGGGAATTTATCACGAGGATGAAGAAAAGTGGCAGAGGCAGAATTTTGTAACTCAGTGGTGCAGGGAAAAGGTACCAAGACAGGCAAGGGACTGGAAACTGGGAATAAATGATGCTCATCACACCAAGAAGAGCTGGGGGCACAAGGAGGGCAGCCCTGAAGCAACAAGCCAAGAAAACTGTTGTCACCACAGCAAGTAAAATATATTTGACCCGGGATATGGAGGGAGTGTGAAAGCAGCTGGGATGCAGAGCTGGGATGTGAGGGGGTCTGTGCTCTGCCCTGTCAGGATGGTGGGGGGGATACCAGGTCAGCCCCCTCCCCAGCCTCAGCTGCAGTGGGAACTCCCCACTTACCTGCTCCCCTTCGCTACTCCCACAGGGCTGCACCAGAATTTGGGAAGTGCCCCCAGGATATTTTGTGCTGAGGTCCTTAGATTCTTCTGCAGGTTCAGCCCTCACTGGGGATCTCTGCAAACACCCTGCTGAGGAGCCCTGTGTTTCAGAGGGCACGGGGTGGACTCTGCTCACTGTGGGGCCAGGCAGGCAGCCAAGGGCGAGCAGAAGTCGCTGCGTCTAAGGCAGCTTCTCCCCTCTGCCCCAGCCCCAGCTTTGCCCCTTCTGCACAAGCTGTTATGGTCACAAGACCTTGTGCCTGAGGTGATCTGGGTGAGAGTAGAAGGATTTGTGGCTTGGGAAGGAAAAGGCAGCAGAGGGGAAATATTAACAGCTCCAGTGCCGATCTCTTGAGGTGGGGCTGCTGCTGGTCAGCGGTCAGAGAATTTACCAGATCAACAAGCCTTGAAATTCCCAGTTCTGAGGAAAGGCCTTGCCTGCTCCAACCCTTTCAGGTGGTTTTCCATAGGGCTGTAGAACAACATAGGCTTGGAGCCACGCAGCCCCCAAATCTGTGTCAGCCTGTTGTGCTCCCCAGATTGAATGATGAGTTTCTCTAGGTGCATTTTGCCTGGCAGCCACACAGGAGAGCTGAGTGCACGTGCAGGAGACTTGACATCCACCACCTTCCACCACCAATTCCCTGCCACACGTGACTCCCTTGCTCTGCACGTTGGGATCTCTGAGCAGGATGCTGATGTTTCCCAAGTACTTTGCCACCCAAGAGGTTTTAGTAGAGACCATCAGACAAGGCAGCCCCACAAAGAATGTGTGAAGGACATTCTCTTGCTTATGAGATGTCACCTTTAAACAGGCTCCCTGGAAATAAGGAGGCACAGAGATTGCACCAGGGGGGCTTTTCCTGATGATCCCTCTCCGCTCTGGCTGCCAAGGTGAACTGTTGGGCAATGAGCTCCCCTGGGCTCCTCACCACTGCAGTCTGAGCCAGGAGCAGGCTGCCAGCCAGGGACATCCCACTGGGCATTCCATACCTCTCTGGAGCAGGAGCTGTATCCAGCACTGCTCTTCCTCTCCAGCAAGAAGTGACGCAGGGACGGTCCCGCTCTCCTGAGCATTCCACACCTCCTGCTGTCCCCCTGCTGCAGGCACGGACCTGCAATTCCCCAGACACAAAGGAGAGGGGGGAGACAATCACTCCACAGCTGAGCAAGCACTCTGTGTAGCTGGGAATGAGGCAGGTCCAGACCCAAAGCTGTGGCTGTTCTGCCACAGAAAGGACAAGGCGAAACAAGGTGCTCTGCGTGTTGTCACTGCAATGGCAAACAGTGCCGGGGCTGTACTTTGTGCCCATGACACACAAAATCAGGATCACGAGGGCAACCATGACTTCTGCCTCCTCTCTCTCCCAGTCCAGACTTCCCTCACTTTCCTCAGCACCGAGGGGAGTGGAATGGATATCAGTGAGAGGGCATCCTCTGGGAATTTGGTATTCAGCGTCAGCTTCCCCTTTGGTTTCATCGATCCCAGCTATCTCTGGCCTTTGTCCTTCCTCCCCTACAGCACCTCCACCTTCCTCATCAGTGGGGCTGTGCCTTGGCAGGGCTGTTTGGACACCTTGCCTGCCTCTTGGGGCTGGGCAAACCTGCTCCATACAAACCCATCTCAAGTTTATTTAGGTACTTGAGATAAAAGCAGTGAGTCTGGAGGATGCATGCACCTTTATTTTAATCAGCCATGGATTAATTTACCCAACTGTCAACAAAATTAATTAAAACAGGTTTGAAGCTGGCCAGCCCACAGACAAGTTCTCAGTACTCCTGGGTGCACTTTCCATCCCTACGTGCAGGATGTGAGTCCCCACTGTCTGCATTTTGTGTTATTTCTATGAAAAGTGCAAAGCAGCCACCAGCACAGACCAGCGGGGTTTGACATCTCTTTGCCAGGTGGGAAAAAACCAACACAATTTATGGAAAAATGGGAAGCCAGAGCATCACATTGCTCAGGACTGTGAAATCTCCCCCTCGTCCCTGTGTGAAGCACAGCTGCACACTGGGGACGGGAGATGTTGGGGGACACTGCTTTGGGGTGCAAAGCAAATGAGTCCTGTAAAGAGGTGACAACATGAGAGTCTGGCAGTAAAAAAAACCAGGCTTTTAACAGATTGCAGAAAGCCACGGAGCCGGTGGGAGAGCTGGGCAGGAGGCTCTGGCACAGGGCTGGAGGCAGTGCCAGGGTCAGGACAGCGCACGGGGTGGGGATTCTGGAGGTGACAACTGGAAGGTCACCGCAGGGACCGGCCACTCAGCACCTCCTGCCCTCCAGCCCACGGACACCAGCCGTCTCCTCCATCCCAGTGCTCCCTAAACCCTCCGTGGCTGCCCTGGGGAGCACCCGGCAGGCTTTGGGGATAAAGGATCCCCCTGAACGCGGGGTGCAGGAGCTCGGCAAGCGCAGCAGCAACGCCGGCAAGCGCCAACACGGAGGGACAAAGCAGCTGCCGGAGGGACAAGGAGGGGCAAAACCAACTTACATCAAGCTGGGCTGCGCTGGTTCACGCTGGGAAAGGCCGTCCCAGCCGCCCAGGCTGCCCGGGCACACATGCTGCCCTCTCCCTCTCCTCGAAACGCTTCATCTGCTCCCGGGACTTCCTGGGAGGAGTCGCAGGAGCTGCGGGAAGGCAGGATCGAGCTACAACACTGATGGGGAGAAGCGTACCGGGGAAAAGGAGGGCTCGGGTCCCTCTCTGGATCACCGGGGTGAAGGGGGAGAGGGCTTTTGGAGGCTCAGAGCCAGCGCTGCCAGAGGATTTTGGCCGCCTGGAAAAATATCCCGGTGTGTTGTTGAGATGGAAGCTCACTCCGGTGTAACCACGTGGGATAATTTTTGTGGTGGGGCAGTAATTACTTCAGCGTGGCGATGGCAGGGAATTTCCCTTTGAGTGACGTTTTTAGTCGTGTTGAAAAAAAAATTTTTAAGCCAGTCAGAGCCTCTCAACTATTTCGCTCTGCAGACTTATTTATTAGGGAAGGGGGTGGATCACAGGCAGAGAAAGCGAAAGCATAAGTGTAAAGTTCATGAGAAAATAATGACCTATTGTCACAACACAACCTAAAGCAGATCCTGCAGCATCACCCGACCCCTGGGCTGTGGATGGGCAGGGATAGCGGCCTCAGAGGGGGATTTCAGCGCAGGGAAACAGGAGCTGAACTCCCTATCGGTATTTGAGAGGCAACAGTTGCTGCATTGGGGTGTAGAGAGCAAGTTGTCGTCTCTCAGCTTCCCTCTTTTGTGACAAGGTTTCACCTGCCCCGATGAATCAGGCAGTGTCATTCTCCTGGGTGAGTAATTTCTGTCTCCCTTTCACAGGTGGAAAAAGTGAGCCATGGGGAAAGGAAGCAGCTCCATCCTCTGTGCCAAAGGTTCCCAACCCCGACCTGACATCTGAGGCATCCCTGAGGTGACTAAGCAGGAGGGAATGTCTGTGCGGGCAGATGCAAACTCTTTGTTTTCTGAACTTCTGTCCGAAACAAGCAGATGGAAGGAAAAGTGTAGGAGTGTAGAGGGCACATCCTGAGCCATCCCACAGCTCAGTGGCTTTTTCTCCTGTGGTTTCTTTACCACCTTCTCTGCCAGACTTGTGCCTTCCCTGGTTGTTGTTTGTCCCTGAGCTGAGCTTGTTTGATTAGATAAATTAGCAAAAAGCCAACTGGGCTGTAAAGCAGCCAGTTTTCTGTCGGGTTTGTGAGCTGAGCTGGCCCAGGGCAGGGTGGGAGTGAGGGTGAAAGGTGCTGCGAGGAAGCAGAAATGTGGGCAAGGACCAGACTGGGAAGAAGGGACGGACAGGAGCAAGGGGCCCTTCTCTGGCAGGGTTTGGCCTTTATATTGGTTCAACAGTATCATGTAACTTCACCTTAATTTCCTCTTGAGATTCAGCAGAAATTACTTGACAATGTGCACGAGGTCAGCAATGTAAAGGACACATCTGACCCTATATTTTGTGCTGTAAGACTCCTGGAAAATTAGGACCCTCTCAAGGTAATTTTAATCTAACAAGTGCATCTAGACATGAACAATTCTTCTTATTTTTTTTTTTTTTTTAATTTTAATGTAGTTATTGCCCTGGGCCCTGTCAAGTGAGATCACAGCTCCTCTGGTACAGCTCCTGTGCCTGTGGCTACAGGAGGTTGCCAATACGTATAATATTCTTAGAAAGCCACAGATATACTTATTATAAAAATATTATATACTTCCTTTACTGGTGTAAATTTTACTGTGGTCACTGATGTATACGAGTCAAAATTGGCTGCACTTAACCCCTCAGAACTGCCACTTGTACACTAATGAAACCACAATGAGCGCCTTTGAACCATCCTTTATGAGTTCAAAAAGAAATTATGCGCCCTGTGTCCTCCATTGAGTAAGGCGGATAAAAACAAGTGAATCACTTTTTTTTTCAGGCACCAAAAAGAATCAGGGCGGGTGAAGGCGCTCCCCTGGTGCCCCTTTAAGAGCCGCCATTTTGCGCCCTGCCCTGCACCAAGATGGCGCCGCCGCCTTCCCTCCTGCCCCCCCCCCCCGCAGCCATGGAGCGCGCCCTGCACAAAGATGGCGCCCGCCCGTGCCGTCTTGCCCGCCCGCAAGATGGCGGCGCCCCCCTCGCCCTGTGTGGTGGCGGGACGGGGCGATGGCGGCCGTGCGGGGGGGAGGGTGAGGTCAGATCCGGGGCGGGGCGGCTGCGGGCAGGGCGGACAAAAGGCGGCGGCGGAGCGGCGTGCGGGAGGGTGGGTGCTGCGGTCAGGTGGGTGCGGTGCGAGCCCCTCGCAGCCGGGTGCGGGCAGGTGGGTGCGGCGGGTCCCCTCACGGTGCGGGTGGGCTGTGGGGATGCGTCCCCGCCGTGGGGCGGCCGTGAGGGGGACGGGGTGGGACTGCGTGTCGGGGGGCGGCTGAGGGGGCTCGGGGGCGGTGGCAGCGCCAGGTGGGGCCGGGCGGGGGAGGATTTGCTGAGTAATTCGGCGGCGATTCGCTGCCCCCGGGTCCCGCCATCCCTGCCCCGCACCGGCGGGGACAGGGGGGTCCTCGCCCCGCCTGAGGGGCGAGGCAGAGCCGCGGAGTGCGGGGGGTCCCCCCGATCCCCGGCAACGAGGGGAGTCCTGTTTTTTACCCGCTGTTCGTTACCTGCGGACGGAAGCGCGTTGGGGTTTATTTATATCTCCCGGAGGGTGTTTTCTCTGTGTCCGGAAAGCCGGGGTGGTGCGGCGGGGCTGGTGCCGGACTCCGGCTGCTGCCCATTGCTGGAGAGGGGGAGAAGGTCAGAGAGTCCTCCCGGCGCTGCCTTTGCGGCACCGTGGGATGGGTAAAACGGAACAGCTTTGATTTCTGAGGTGTTGCTTCAAAATCTGTCAGCCCCAGTAGCAGCTCGGCGATCAGGGGGATCCTCACCGTTGTGGTTTTGGGATTTTCTTCTAGTGATGTCTCCTCTTTTTCGTTTCCCCCCGTTGTTGACAAAATGCTCTCGGCTGTTCTGCAGTCCTCTCCTGCACGGCTGGGAGGAGGGATGCTTGAGAGATCCCTCCAAGGATATGCTCCCTTCCCTGTTTTCCCATGCCCTGTGCTGACACGCAGGAAGCAAGGGAAAAAAAAAAAGGCTGTTGTAGTTTTTGTTGATGGTGCTAAACTGCTGGCACTTCAGAAAGATACATGTTGGTAGATATGGGCTGAGAGGGAAGGGGACAGTTGCTTGAATCTGGAGTGGTTAGGAAAGTGATCTAGACTTTCAGGTACTTGTGATGGTAACATTTAAAGTATGTCAGGCTTTTCAGATTAGAAAAGAGGAGTAAAGTCATCCTTTTTCCCATTTAAAAATAATTTGTTCTTACAGGAGATTGGTCTGTCTCTGCCCCTTTAGGCTTGGTTATGATACTAATATTCAGCATCTCCTTTGGCTGGGTCTGCAGCCCCTGCTTGTGGTAATATCTGTTGGAATAACGTGCTGGAGGTTCCTTCCTGCAAAGAGTTTTACTTGGTTCCTTGTGTTCTTGCCATCTAGTTGTCAGTGTGTCTCTTTCTGGTTCCCTCTGGGTTGTTCATTGCTTTTTAGATATCCTTTACCCATTAGGTGTCCTTTACCAAGCTTTTCCATCAGGGGGTCCCTCTGTGAACTCCATGCCCTCCTCTCTGCTGATGGTCTCTGTTTCATTGCAGGGAAGCTGTTCCCATGGCTTGTGGGGAGTGCAGCGCTTCAGCACTCGCTCGGGATCCAGCACACACGAACGTCATCCCCTTCCAGCACAGAGAACTGACGTGCAGATAGCAGAACCCAGCAAGGTGAGGGCTCTGGGCCAGCTCTGAGGGGTAAAGCATCCCCAAAAATGACCAGGATCTTACTAAAACACAGATGCAAAGCACAGGGCACAGATGAGAGAAAATAAACAGAGCCAGGAGGAGAGGTGGTTGGTCAGAGGGTGATATGGGGAGAGTGATGGTGTTTAATTGTGGTGGTGCTAATTGAATTCTGTGAGCCCTTAGCTTGAAGATGAAAAAGGAACTGAGTGTTGTCCAAATAATATAACTGTTCTATAGTCACCCATAAACTAACTCCTGGCCACGTAAACCCTGACTTCTCACTGCACTTACCAGTAAATGCTCAAAGGCTCTCCAGGAAATGTTTTGGTGACTGCTGCCCGAAAGGAATGTGGCTGAGAAATAGGAAGAACTGTTGGGGTTGGTTGGTTGGTGCCCTTCTATTTCCTGTGGGGTGATTTGTCCTGCTGGATAGGCATCTCCAGGCAGCTTTTCCCTGTGAACTCTTGGCACTTGTGTGGGTGTCAATTGAGCAATGACAGAAACTAGTTTGTGAGAAACTCCTTCCCCTCCTTGGTTCTGCACTAGGACAGTGAGGAAAGGGATTGCAGAATTCTGTGCTTATTCAGGATGGGAAATTGTGTCCAGTGTTCTGAGCAGGGATGTGCAGTGAGTTGATTCCGGAATAGAAGTACCCCTAAGGCTTGTCTGATGTTCTGGCAGTTCACTGCTTTAGTTGAGGTATTTTTGTACTGATCCTCTCGTGGCATTTGGAAACCCTTTTAATTCATGTAGGTCAAAGACAACGTGCATAAATATTTCCTTAAAGCATGCCAGAAGCCATGTGTTAAAAGCTGATGTTGCCCTGTTTGAAATGGGAGTGCCTGAAGCCTTCCAGCCATGACTTGTTAAAGCTGGTTACATTCTGGGAACTGCTGCAGGCAGTCTGTGCTTTGGGGGTCCCTTGTGCTATTTTTTTTTTGTTTTAAATAACCAGTGGAGGTCACATGTGTCAAGTTATTGCTGTGTGATTAGAGCAGGCTTATTAGGAGCCTTCGTGTAATTCTCCCACATTCTAAAGAAGGATTTTGGTCAGCAGAGTACTGAAAAGGGAAGTGAAACTCATTTCTGGTGTTAAATGGAGCTTAACTGGTGTCTGGGAAAGTAGAGGTGCAATGTCAGGTGAGTGGTGGTGGAGCACAGAGGAGAAGGGGTTTTTAGGATTTTTGTGTGGGCTACACTGTTTTGGTAATGGTTAAAATTTAAAGTATTCAGCTGCAGTGTGGTGAGTCTCCTTTGGGCATTTTTTGGAAAGTTTTTAAAAGCAGCCTCAGTTTGGCGCAGGCATTCAGCAGTCCACGTGCTTTAAAGGGCATCTTTTGAGTGCCTCCAAACAGCTTTTTGCCTAAACTGTTGATGTGGTGCATGTGTCTTGTACTGCAACTGGAAACCCAGTTCATGTAGCTGGGTTATATCTGCCCCTCCTGCTGCTGTCAAACAGCTTTGGAAAATAAGAACTATTCAGTCCTGACCTCCCTGCTGACATAACAGTGCTGCCTTCACCTTGTGTACTAAGCATTGTTAACATCTGCTGCAGAATTGCCTTGGCAATTCACAAAGCTCCTCTTGTGACAGATTCTCAAGCTGCTTCTCAGCTCCAGCCTGCTTTTGTGCCCAGCAGAGATGTGTACTGGACTAGTTAACAGGTCCTCCTCCAGAGCCATGGTTTTATCAGGTCTTTGGAGATGAAAGGTGGGGTGGTCTGTGCTTTTTTTGTTGATTGATGCAGTCGGCAAATGCTCTGAGCTGGAATTCAGTCACGGTTTTGGAGCTCGTGGAGCTGAGGGCAAGGCTTAGAGGGTGTGGGAAATATATGAATAGATACTTGCTCCTCTTTGCTCAGACTGGTGATGGTTGATGTCTTAATTATCTTGCTTTGCTCTTTTCTGTGCCTTCTTTCATCCTGACTGGCTCATCCCTTTGAGCTTGAAAACAGCTGTGGCAACACCCATGGGTTTGTGCATGTTGTGACAGTCTGTCAACAATGCATTATATTATCCTTGCTTAAAAGATTTTACTCACTTTGAATCCAGTGTCTGGATTTCTTAATCTGTTTTTGGTTATGTCAAAGCTCTGCTGTGTCCACTGTTTCTGCCTTGAGCTGAGAGCAGCTGGTTCCTCCCCTTGTGTGGTTCCCAGTGCTGAATTTAAGTGCTGAAGAGTCCCTTCCTGCAGTTGCTGAGGTGCTTGAAGCTGCTTTAGTTGTTACATGTTAATGCTGGGGCTGTCTGGTTTCTTAAGGAGTTACAGAATTAATTCAATCACCTGCACTAGGCAGCACAAGGGAGGGTTTCATTGTGTCCTGTTGGAAGAAGCCAGTTGTACTTTTCCAAGACAGCTCCAATGCCCTGTCCTTGAAGCATCTTTGTTATGGCAAAGAAAATTAATTTTGGATAGGAAGCCTGTGGCCATGTGCATTCATAATTTATAAGCTGACACAGCCTTTTTTTCCCTGGTTTACATCAGTGTTGCAAGTCATCTGATGGCACTTAAATTTACAACACTGGCACACAGTCCCTGCCCCGAGTGTCAGTGATGCTGGTAACTGCAGACTGTGCTCAGTTCTGTGAGCTGGGGCAAAATGCTGTCAGAAAGCACAAAATGTGCCAGGCCAAGCCAGGTCTCCAGCATGGATTGTCCTGGTGGTGCAGATATTCGTTCTTCCCCGTACGTGTCAGGACACGCTCGTGTGGTGGTAAACAGGAGCTGCTGCACCAGGCTTAAGAATGTCAGTCTTGCATCTGACAGGAAGAGCCAACTAATGGGTAGCTGTAAAGATGATGAAGTGCCATCCATGTTTTAGGTGGATTATTCTTTTTCACGAGCTTCGCAGAGACAGTGTGACCCAGTGGGTTCACCTCATCTTGCTGTGGCTTGGGTGGGGCAGAATTTTGTGTGAAAGCCACCTTACCCTGCTCTCAGCCTGGGGTTCAATGCCTGTTCCACTGAGTGAAGGGTGTAAATTCTTGCAGCTGCTGTTCCACCACTCTGCTGGTCTCAATGGTAAATGACTTTTCAAACTTGACACAGAATCACAGAATGGTTTGGGTTGAAAAGGACCTTAAAGAACTTCTAGTGATCACGTTCACTTCTCTACCTCGGGAGATGTTTTGTTCCTCAGAAAGGATTTACTTTTTTAATGCAGAAGGGGCTCGATACAGGGAGAACAGTGGATTGTTCATGGCTTTGGCATCTGGCGTCACTGTTTTTTCTTTCTAAACAGCACAGGACAAAATAACTTGACTTGTTCCATCTCACATCTTGGGCTTTTCCCGTTGATCACGTGGCTGTCCTTGTTCTTGGAAGGTTTTCTGAGGGGTGCCTGAAAGCAGCTCTGTTTCAGACTCTTTTCTTCTTTTCCCTCTTAATTCTGGACTTAATAAACGTGGAGGAGGAGACAAGTAAATTCCCAGTCCCACTTCTGCCCACTAAAGCTCTTGCATTTCCTGATTTTTCGAACAAAGAGCTCTGTGTCATGCCCTTCTTTAGGATTTCAGGTGGCAGCATGCTGGAGAGGGAAACTGCTCCATTGTAAGCTCACTGTAACGTGTTGGAGCTCGTCAGTAATCAGGGCTGTAGTTTTAAGAGCGGTTTCTGTAGTTTCTGTCCTTTATCTACCTCTGATTCTGTCAGCACCTGAACAAATCCCTCTTTGTCTCGGCTTCTGAAAGGTAAGAAGTTTGTCAGCAGTGCTTGACTTCTGCTTTGCACTCCACAATCTTAGAATGAAAACCATGGGGAATTATGATTATCTGTAGTGGAAAAAAAAAAAAAGAGTTGCAAGGTCCAGCATAAAATGCATCCACACCTGCTTACCTAGAACTGTGCTATGAGACTGCCTCACTTGAAAGCTGCACTCCACTAAAGGTGAGGAGGATTTCTGATTTCAGGGAAGTAAGGGTGGAAGTT